GGAGCTGCAGAAGACAGATATACCCGCAGCACCTTTGGTACGGATACAGGTTGATTTCGTTGGCCCATTTCAGCCGTCTCTGCCGGATCAGTTTCGCTATATCTTGGCCGTACAAGATGTATTGACGCGATACGCGATACTTATCCCTACAGCAGACGCCACGGCAGAGACTGCAGCGAAGGCCCTACTAGAGCATTGGGTTATGGTATTCGACATTCCGGTGACCATCCAGAGCGACCGGGGCTCACACTTCACAGGAACGGTGTTTCGGGAAATGTGCTCAGCCATAGGCATTCGGCAGGCATTGAGCAGCCCGAACCATGCCCAGTCTAATGGTCAGGTCGAACGACAGAATCAACTGATCGATAATGTGCGCTGTGTGTGTGATGACAACCCAGCGGCATGGCCAGAGGCAGTGCGTTCCGTACAGTATGCGCACAACACGTCAAAGAATGCTACTACCGGCTGCTGTCCATACGAACTCCTGTTCCATCAGCACCCCAACAGACCAGAACAGTTTGCAGTACCACAACCAACAGGACAGCGACTATCACGTGCGGTGGAACGAATGGACAGAGTTTTCCGACGGGTGAAGCGCCGGATAAGCGATGCTCAGGAGGCCAGGAGGGTGAGAGTTGGCGGGAAGGCGAGGTGTGGATATGCTGTTGGTGACACCGTGAGAATCAAGCTCCAACCTGGACAGCGCACGAAAGGAAAGCTTCACGCTCACAAGTCCGAATTGTATACAGTTGTGCACAGGACTCGCAATACCTACCTGGTGAAGCCTTCCCCACCCAATGCCCTTACTCGCACGCTACAGCGACACTACAATGAGCTAGAGGCCGCACCCCCTCAGCGGTTGAGCTGGGAGCACAGTAGCAGCACCCACGAAACGGGGACGGAGGGGGAGCTTGACGTTTCTCCAAGTGGAGCTGCCCAGGACACAACCCCGATTCGCAGGAGTGGAAGAGTTAGACGGCCAACCAAGTTTCTGGCAGTAAACCCCCGGCGGGTCCGTTATGGATCAAGCTCGGCCTGTAGTGGTGCCGAAGCATTTTGAGTTGGTGTTCATATTGTTGAGTTTGAGTGGGGGAGTGTGAGCGGTGTGCTATACACACCTCCTACGTGACACTTGACACGATCATATCCATACTTTACACTATTGTGCATTAGCACCTGTATTGCTGTACTGGTATTTAGAGGGCTTCTGCTCTCCAAAGCTCTCCAAGCTCTCCAAGCTTCAGAGGAGGTTGAAACTTGGAGATTCCCGCGGGTTGGGATCAGCGCATGCGAACTACGACTAAAAGCCACGTGTTTATCATGAGTGTACGCATTTCCCTTTTCGCATACGCACACATGCATTACTGCATTCATCACTCAAGATCGCGGCCCCTTTGGCGCTTCATTATGCTTGACATGTGCAAAATATCTCCGAATTCTTCGAGACCCGTTCTTGAGTAATCCCAGTTTCTTCGACTTCTCTTTTCTTCTTCTCCTAGAAGCTAGAGAATATAAAAACGCACCCTAAGGTGACGGGCTCGGTCGGAGGGGTGGTGCTGCATGCTGATCTCCATTCTCTGCGATCCTGGGCGAGGTCGTACCAGTCCGCTATCTGGCGGTCCTTCATGTCGGACACAACATTGTCCCGCCACCGCTTCCAGGGCCCCCCACACACATGCACACACGTGCGCGCAGACACACACATGCACACACGTGCGCGCAGACACACACACACACACACACACAAGGCCCACAAATGTTCGCACGCCCGCAGGCAATGGCTCCAATAAAGATTAGGTTACTACTTCTTTGCAAAATGCTGCATGACAAAATCAATAATCCGGCGGTTGCTGGTAACCCATGAGCTGCCCGTCGCATCATAGAAGGGAGGATCAAGTTTGGCAAAACTGTTCATTACCTGCACACGGGTAGTTATTGTAGATGTAAGCGAAAGCGTCACTCACTGCTGTGCAGGAAGTTGTTGGTTCAGAACTGGGGTTTGTTTCCACACTTGCGTGATCATACCCATCATCCGAAGACAACAATTCAAAATCAGAATTCAGAGTATCACCTGCACGGTGCCGGTGGTTGTCCAAGGTAGCATTTACATTATTCTCTATAACAAAGGTGGGGATATTATTTTGGTATCTATCTATGAACAAGCACAACTAAAATATGGTTGAGCATTGCGTAAATTATGTGTGTTACATGCACGTAGTTGTGCAGAGAGGCAGTGTACAATGTCATGTACATTCACCGATGACACACCGGTTAGACAGCAGGTTAGGGCTAGTCAAAGATATGAAGGCACAATATACGATCTGAAGGCACAATTTGTGATGTATTTGAGTTTGTGAATATGTAGGGGGCTTTGTGTTCACACATACTCTACCAATTGCCATGCACGCCCAGCACCCACTCTTGTCACACCCACTTGAGCCTGGGGAGCATGACCGCTGGTAACCAGAATACGAGTTGCTTTCAAATTCTTATTCTCGTCGGGAGTGATTTGAAACACATACAGGTAAATATAGATCTCTAACAAATGCACCCTAAATAACACGCTCAAGCACTGAGTGGTAAGACAATAAATTGAAGGAATTTTTCAACAAAAACCCAGTGAACCATGGTGACAAGAACTATCGGAGAGCTCTTGGTGGACAGGGATTACCACAAAGAAATGGTGAGCTACTAGCCTCTACTGACACAATGCAACCACGTTGTTCAGTACATGATCGAATCAAAAATACTTTCGTACATTCGTGACCATTTCAATGCAAGGGCGACCTCCACAATTCAATGGCTTCAGAGTCGATTGATCATTATAGAACGGCCATTCTTGACAAAATAGTCAGACAAATTTCGTGAAGGATGGCGTTCTCCTGTGGAAGGGATTCGCCAAGTCACTTGAAGCAATTCAACGAAAATACAAAATACTCAGGTTTTGCACATTCACGTACCCGTCTGTGCCGTCCCCCATTCCTTCCAAGAGATCCACATACACTCCAACGCTTTTTTTCTGCTCTTTTTCCGAAGCCGACCATGGGCATGGGCAGTGCCTGCTGGAAGGGACATCCCAACACTTCTCTGACCGGTGACAATTTCCACAAGTAAAAAAATGCACCTAAAAACAAGTAGCCAAGCGAAGGAGTGAAAAAAAAGAAGAAAAACAGTCTCTAGACTCGATGACGAGAGTCTCGTACTCATTATGCGTGAGCTGGACCCTATCGAAACTGGAGTGCGCTACAAGCTCACTACGCCAACTCCGCATGCACTTTTCTCGAACGTAGGATGCGCGAGAACCTGCGCAGAAGACGAGTTTAGAAATAGGCGCGAGCCACCTTAACTAGGAGATAGGGAGTTCTGGTTGACACACCCATTCTCATACAGCGGCACATCCGAACCAGGTTCGAGAGTCAGGTACTTGTTCGGATGTGCGGGGGTATGGGAATGGGTGCGTCCACCAGAACACCTTATTTCAGAGACGAAGTGGTGGGAAGCCTCAGCCCTTCTTCTAAAAAATATTTAACTCGAAATATGAAATAGAAGAAAACACATGGGAACGAGTTATTAATCATTTAGCCCCATCCCTCACACAAACAAGTCAACAAAGAGGCATCTTTGGATTGAGGAGTGCTGGTTTCGAAACAACTGGTTTGAAGCTCAAAGTAGAGCTGGTGTTAGCTCAGAGCAGAGCTGGTGTTAGCTCAAAGTAGAGCTGCTGTTAGCTCAAAGTAGAGCTGCGGTTAGCTCAAAGTAGAGCTGCGGTTAGCTCAAAGTAGAGCTGCTGTTAGCTCAAAGTAGAGCTGCGATTAGCTCAAAGTAGAGCTGCTGTTAGCTCAAAGTAGAGCTGCTGTTAGCTCAAAGTAGAGCTGCTGTTAGCTCAAGGTAGAGCTGCTGTTAGCTCAAAGTAGAGCTGCTGTTAGCTCAAAGTAGAGCTGCTGTTAGCTCAAAGTAGAGCTGCGGTTAGCTCAAAGTAGAGCTGCTGTTAGCTCAAAGTAGAGCTGCTGTTAGCTCAAAGTAGAGCTGCGGTTAGCTCAAAGTAGAGCTGCTGTTAGCTCAAAGTAGAGCTGCTGTTAGCTCAAAGTAGAGCTGCTGTTAGCTCAACGTAGAGCTGCAATGCTAAATGAATGTAATATAGCGCAAGGCAGAGCCGCAGCAAATAGCTAGATAACACCAGTTGTGAGAGTGGACCCGGTTAGTGGGTACGATAATATTATGATGGTGTGAATAAGTTGGATAGGGAGGGATGGTGGGAAAAGAAACACTGCTGAAGCACGATCCGTTGTCTGGAAGAGCACAACAGGGCAAGCAAGATTTGTTTTCTTTTCCGCAAAAATGGGCTGGTGCCATTTGTGATTACGCAGCAAAACAAAGCGCATGACGTCAGTCTTGAATGCAGTACAAAGCAATGCAGTGCAGTGTGTGCGCTAGTTCGGATTGTTGCTAACAAGTACTAGCACAGCTAGTACACCACTATTTACGACTGTATTATTAAACAAGATAATAAATATGCAGTCAGAAAGTGTAATAACAGGGCACACATCTTACAGGCTACTGAGACATGCAACAACCTGGGACTTAGCTCTAACACATCTCCAGTGCGCAAACTAACAGCACTGGAGTTAGACCGCATTGTCATGTTATTGAGTGGTCTCGTCATCGTCCTGTAACATTCGGAATTCCTTGTTGCCGTGGACTGTAGCTTGTGCACATGTTCCCTGCGCTCACCTTAACCTCTTTGGTCCTACCTGACCGTGAACCGTCCACGTCGGAAGGCTGTTGGTTGGCGCACTGGAGATGTGTTAGAGCTAAGTCTCAGGTCGTCTCAGGTCGTTGAATGTCTCAGCAGCCTGTCAGTTTTGTGCCCATTTGTGCCCTGTTGTGCCCTTTCTGACTGTTTGTTATCTTGTTACAGTCGTGGATAGTTGCTTCACAACTCGTTTCCATGTGTGTTCTTCTATTGTATCTTCTCTCTTTCAATTATACTTTCTCTTCAGAGGTTGACTGTGGAGAACCTCCCCATGGCGTCAAGTCTACTGTGTCCAAAGTGAATACAACTCTTGGATCCACTGCAAACTACACGTGCTTACCTAACACTCGGTATCTGTCTGGCAATGCTACCTTGTCTTGCAATTCGTCTGGGCGATGGCAAGGAGTCGTGTATGCGTGTCAAGGTACGATTTCATATCCTCTTTCACAACACAATGGAGCCATGGCGCAATGCTCGCGAGACCAATCAAAACAATGAATACAAAGCCTTTTTTTAACTGGAAACACTGAAAACGGCGGGGCACAAGTTTAGAGTGGGGCACACATAGCCTTTGTTGTTTTCAATTTTTCAAATAATTATTAATGTTTCCTTGGCCCACCATCCGAGTACGTATTGCAAACCATTTTGTAACTCCAAATAATCCAGCCCTGGTCATTATGTAGTATATTACTATACAGATTATTCTGGTCTCCTCACTGTTTATTTCTGTTTCACGAGGAAAGGTCATCGCCTCCTGGAAATCCTTTACATGTATATGCAGATTTTTAGTTTAAACCTGAACTGATCATGCTGAAGTACTATGATATTGTACACAAGAGTTTCCGCTCTAAAGCAGCCTTAACAACAAACAGAAGTAAACATTATCTAAACAATACCGGTAATGGATGTGGGAGTTGGAACCCAATCTTCATCCTCTGCTTGTGGAATGGAATTAATTATAACGGCGACGAACTATTCACCATTCAATTGGTGCGATACCTTCGCAAACATGCATATATTGGGGTATATGGAATATGGGTATTTGCCCGAGAATTCGGATGCCCCTATTTTTCAATGATTTGTGTAGCCCAAGAGCCGTGTGGATAACAATACAAAACAATTGTCTATTTGTCTTTCTGCTCTTGGTCTGTATGTGTAGACATGCAATGCTCTGTGAGGAAGAACATAACCAACGGAGTCGTTTTTGGAGTACCTTCTCAACTCACAGTTCAATCTCTAGCACCGATTGAATGTTCCCCTGGTTACCGATTCACGGGCCGGTTCCCCATGGCAAAATGTACCAACCTGAACCAGAGTTATGCGGATTGGGAATTACGAGATGGTAGCTGCGAACGTAAGTTCGATAGCTGCAAGGTCTGATTCCAACGGTTTGATAAATCGCACCAAAGATTGGAATTTTGGTGGTATTGATTTATTTGAATTCTGTAGCTCAACAGTACAATGTACAACTTGGGAAGATCCGAATGACATAGATACATAAACATAAAAGTGGAGTAGGTGCTACAGCTGATCATTTTATCGCAGGTTGTGGGACTAAACTAATAGTAATACCAGTATGCAAGTACTCAAGAAATAATTTTAATGAAAAGAGCGAGGTGCGCACTCAGTACAAACACCATAAACGAAAAAATGTTTCATCATGTATAATTATTCGTTTTCGAAGCCACTTCATCAGGAGGATTTAATTATAAAATGGATTTTGAGACAATGTTCGGAAATATGCCCACACAGCGAGTCATACCTTTGGTTTGCGTTGGGTGGTCTGCGATTTCTGTGCTTCCATTAATCCCGTCTAGTTGTGCCTCCTACTCTGGTATTGAACTCCACTAGTACAGAGATCACTGTCCGAGTTGATCACATGCTGTCGTCCGATCCGACCATCACATACTGCACTGTGATGACGTCAATGACAACTGGATCAAATATCTCCAACGCATGCAACACAAGTGCATCCAGAACATTACGTCATCGGTCGGCGGATGATGTCATTGAGATTCAGGCGTATGTCATCCTGGGCTCGCCAGCGGAGACAAGTACTAGATCGTATCCAGTCGTTCTTCTCCCCTTTGCCAAATCACCATCAGGTAAGTGTGACATTTTGCCAACTAAAAAGTACGTGCCCGAGCAACAAAAAAGGCACTTACCATTGGTTTGTGCAAGTGTGCATTCGGAGTGTGCGTCTAGGTGAATTCCAGACATTACAGTGTCAAAATTACCTCTTATCTCCCCCCCTTATCCCCCTTACCCCATTCTGCCCGGTCCCGTTTTAGTGTTCGGGTACTCCCAAACTTATGCATGACTGTGGTGCCATTTGCTTACAGCCTGTGGGCAGGTTCAATACTCCATTCACCGCAACCTGACCGATCCCTTGCCGTTCCTTATTGCAATCATTCTGCCTTGAGATTCGCCCACCTTGCTGTGTTGCGTTATATTCGATACTCACACGTTCACTTGAGTTGGCCGTGCAATATCAGAAGATTCTACTATAAGCCTCTTGTACGGGCAAAATCCATGTACCATTATTGATCAGTGAATAGAAAAATGCTACTAAATCCAAAGTCCGGAAATACTGCACTTCGTAATCAAGTTGATTGGTTGTCTACAAGGTAACAGCCACATGGCAGGCACAATGTGTATTCTTGACCTGCTGTGATCATGCTCTTACCTGTATGACGTGTATGTAAATGTACATTAAATTATACTTATAAAAACCTCCATTGATTGTCGTGTAGGGTTAGAAGTTTCTATACTTCATACACACCTGTATAAAAAAACCTGGTGGCTATAAAAAAACCTGTATAAAAAACCTGCCGGCTATAAAAAACCTGTATAAAAAACCTCTTTTTAGGGGTAGATGAGAACAAGAGATAAGAGTATTCACGAAAACAGTACAAACAGATGCAGAGCAAGATCAGAAGAGCACAAATTGAACTGGAAAGGTTAAATAGTCCACTCAAGAATGGTAAGATGAGAGACACATACATATGATCAAAAGGAGAGAATTGAGCTACTCACTCTTCGTCTTCCTTTTTGAGCTTGTTGGCCTTGACAAACACGCCACGCTTCAAATCGAAGCCCCGGTCACGGTCATTGACTTCTCTCTGCAAGGCTCCTCTTGCAGCTATTAGACTGGCCCGTTTATATTCCTTCTTGTCATGAGTTCTCACGGAGCAGTAAGGATATCCGCCAGTACCTTGTCTTCGACAGTAGCAAAATCACAAGACAAGCTCTCCTGCATCAAAAAATCGCTGAACACCTTCAACCAAAACTTCGTTGCAACTTTGGTTGACTTAGGAACTGCTGATTCCAAAAGTTTCTTCCTTTCTTCTTCAGAAACGGACGCAAAACGTCCAGTAGACGTTGAAGAAGCCATTACACTCGTAAACCAAAATAAACAACACGAGGAGAAAGTTGAAACACGAGGAGTAAGTTCGAGCATGCGCCGAAATAGGTACGAAAATCCAAAACGAAAATCGGTTTTTATAAGTATAATTTAAATAAAATGCATACTTCGTCCTCGTGTTTACTCGAATTATAAAAAACCTCCACAAAACCCTCGGCTTCGCCTCGGGTTTTGTGCCGGTTTTTATTTCTCGTAAACACCTCGGACTCAGTATGTATTTTATAAATAAAACCTGTAACTATAGACCACCGTGACTAGCAACCAGCCAGCCTGGTACTACAGACCACTTCGCCAGGCACGGACGGTCTCACATTCATAAATATATGGCTGTGCGGTGCAAACCTCTAACTAAGGACCGCTTTCTCTGGCCGCCGCAAGGGGTGGTCGTTAGTCACAGGTTTTACTGTACATGACTTGTGCCTTCTCTCAATTTTGTATTTTTGTATTGTGTTTTATTATTTTACTTGGGCATTTCCAACAGACCCTAAGGTCTTCTTACAGGGTGCCCAAGGTCACAATGTAACTGCAGAGACATCGTCGTGTACAACCGGCATCGCCATAGGCCTGGGTGTGGGCATACCTGCCCTAGTGCTACTTGCTGCATTGCTGATCGCGCAGTGCCGGCGGATGCGCGCTGGACAGCCTACAGCAGCCAGCCGCACAGCAAGAGATACCACCTGTAAGACAGATGTGGTTGTTATTCGAAACTCATCCGCTGTGCCCAGAGGCAGCAGAGATGACGGATATGAGGTAAGGGACTTGTCAGACAAAGTCCACGATTCACGGGAAGCACACACGACTACGCCGCGACATCATGGCGAACTCGGAAAGAGTTTGCGCAACGCCAGAAAATCGCTATTTCAACGCGAGAAGACGACAAAATCGGTGGAGACGAGTGGCTCTACCGGCGAAGGCCGGATGGCAGCTGTTCGTGAAGGATCAGGGGATGTTGCATCGCTCGGCAATCAAACCAGATATCCGGCAAATGAGGCAACGGATCGGTGCACCAGCTCACGAACTGTGACGCCTAACGCCAAGCACAGCTCGTCACGCAAAACAACGTTCCGTTCAGTACATAAGAAACGTGCATCTCCAGTGGTGAACGATACAACGGCGGAGAGCTCTTCTCGCGCGAGGAGAAGCTACGAAGGAACTATACCTGATGAAGCGGAAGAGACTTATGAGCCTATGGAGAGCGATATGATCACTGGGTTTGGCAAAGTCAACGCCACGAGCAGAACGGCTATTGCATCGCGCACATCGGGACCAATAGCACGACAAAAACAGTTAAACCCTGCAGATTACTCGCAGACAGTGGAAGACGAAGATGCGATTAATTATGAACAAACCATCCCAGTTGTGCCATCAACCTACGAGCCCCCAACTGCCATGACCTTCGGGACCAATGGTGGAGCCTGCAAACCCGCATTGAACAACCTGCCACCACCACCACCACCAAGCAATATCGCCGATGACTTTTACGAAGAGGCCAACTCTGCTCCAAGCCGATCTTATGAGGCAAGGGCGAGTAACAATCGTAATGGCGCAGGATCGCACGACTCTTCCACACCCTACCTTAACACGGCGGGCAAACCGACTGGACACCAACCATGGCTTCCCTTCCAACCCCGCGCGGTCCTGTCCCGCATCTCTACCCAGAAGGCACAAGATGACCCTATATACATGAATTACAAATGAGCGTCATGTTGGTTGCTTGTTTCGATTACAATGACGACCATAGCCTCTTCCACACCTTCCATTAATCTGCCTTGATTTGTGAACACATCAGTGAGTCAAAGCACAGCTTTCATCACAGTGAACAGCCATAATAATACTTCGAAGTAATTACGTGTAGTTGCGAGCATATTTTGTCCTATATAATTATTATTATCTTCTTCTGCAAGTGCTTCTGAGCAAAACAGCTTTGCCTGCAATGAATGCATGGTACATAGCAACCATGAAACATGCCAAGTTTATATTTTATTTCATTTTGTTACTATTAACACAGCCCTACTGGAAAACAGGTACTTGATGTACTGCTTTACGTCACAAGATTTGTGTCCTGGGCAATACACACATTGTTATTGTCCAATTTCGCCACTTGCCGTCCCCTGATTCTGTTCTGTTTGTATAGAATAGATTGTTTTGGCTATGCTGTGATTGGTGTGCACTTGTCTGCGTTGCAGTACCCAAGTATCACTTCCAATGGTTTGGGCGTCTTCTGGCGACGCATTTGGTGCGTAATGCCACCATGTGCTTTGCATTGATTCCAATGCGATTGTTGGGATTCATTACTCCTTCCTAATGTGTCCGACTGATCACACGACATGAGTACCACGTATGAACAATGATCGCACCTGCACGCGGTGATTTCTTGATTTTATAGCGCTGTGAACTTACACCACGATTCTTGACTCCTATTTTCGCCACTGAACAGGTGTGCAAGTATTGTTATAGTTACCTGGATGCTGAAAAGTGCAGCATGCTCCTGTGACACGCCTGTGTACTCGTCTATACTCTCTACATATCTCATTATTCTTCATTTATACAAGTGAATCTCTGCTCAATTGTAGGTTTCATGTATTTGCATGACATCCTGCTGGTTTGTCTCCTCCTTTGCCTTTGCCTTTTACTTGTATTCTTTTATCTGTTTTACTGCTGTGCTTGGCTTTCACCCTTGTCTCAGTTTTCCTGGCCGTCATCATGATGTGCCATGAGATAATGAAATAGATACAAATACAAAAATACAAAATGCGCTGCTACATTAAGATGGACGCCTTATGAATGTTCTTGATACATGTACATCATGTGTTCGATGACGGGAACGAGCCAATCCTATTTGGGTCCAGTGACGGCCAGTCGCTTGCGAACAGCATGAGAAATACATCGTAGTGGCACTATAGGATTGGTCCCGGGTAGAACTGGTCATTATGCATATCCTATAGCTGGATGTTGAGGCTTCAACACATTTTTCGATGGCTTGCATTTCGGTCATAATTATGTCGATCCGCCGGATGAGTACGCGTGGACCATGCACCATGGGGACCCACGAATACAAATCAGCATATGTTCCCTCAGCAATACAAGCAAGCAAGAAAGCAAGCAAGGAAAGATAAATGAGAGCCCTGGCAACGAAAACAAAGCGAAGACAAATGCGGACATAGGCAGCGAAAACAGTTCCAAAGTGTAGCCAGGGATTGGACGTGTGCATATATAAGTACGACAGTTAATACGGCTAGTGCACTAGGTCTGGCTATAATATAGAATATAGAAAACTGAGGTGGATATGAGCTAAGGGTCATCGTTTGCCCTATGTACTGTGCATGTTCAGCTCTACATATCGGAATATGGATATCATTCGGTGTGCAGGGTGATGGCAGAGATTAGTGAGGGTGACAAAGGGGGAGAAACAGCAGCATTGCCGCTGTATGTGCTCCCTGGTACAGGCCTTTGTGAGTGAATATCTGAAGGGGAACCTGATTGAGCCGGGAAGGTACATTCACTGCACAAATTTGAAAACAAAAATATATTGGAATCACCCAGTAGTAATCGTGAAACGCATTCTATCAATTTAAGACAAACTGATACTCTTGAAAAGCTTTGGCACTGAACAAAATAGGAATTCAGAAGGTATTGGAGCATTGTACAAAAGAAAGGCAAGATTCAGATATTGCAAAAGAAACCAAATGAGCAATTTAGCATGTTTCACATTTCGACAGTAACATGAGCGTGAAAAAACTGCTTTTGGAATGAAAATATACCTCACAAAGATAAATGGCTGAACAAATGTCGTTCTTGTACTTCTATCCGTCGCAAGGTGGTTACGGGAAGGTATCCGATATCGATGCCCAGGGCTAGCAATTGTGGTAAGCTCAGTAAAGTTACAAAGTGGACTTATTTATCACTACACCCTTACAAAAAATAATGGCTGCAACTGTTCGGGATGCACCAAACTAGTTTTGAGAAGTCAAACATAAAATGTAAAATCATGTTCAATAGGAAAAGCTGGAGGAAAGTGCACCACTGGATGGTGGAAAAAATGAAGTACAAAGGATATGACTCAATTCGAACAATTGACGAAGACTGCATCGGGGCCTTGTATATCGTCGTCCTGGCTAAGGTGCCCAACATCAAGGGGTTCCTCAGATAAGGATTCGCCCTTGGAGGTCATGTTGTGATGCTGGGCGGGAGCCTGGGAGCGAGGTGCTTGGTAACCACTCTCCATGGGTCTTCCAACCCTGGCCGGGAGTCTCCTGGGTCAACCTGTGTCTGTGTTCTGGGTTCGGATTACAGGTCTTGGTCGTGTCTGAATGAAACCGCGTGTTGTGAAGCAGTAGCCCCGCAGCAATCGCCGTCAACAGCTGCATTGTTCGAGTACAGATTTGTCTCCTGCTCCTGTCGGTGTTCTTGACCGTCGCTACTACTGTAGGTATCGATAGCAGCGCCTGCATCATCAGAGTTGACAAATGGCAGCCATTTGTTTCCATTCGCCGTGGTTAGACCCTTTCCGACGTTCACGTACCGCTCATTGCGAAACTTTCGGAATAGGACAGCAGCAAGCACTGATAACAGTATCACCAGAAGGATCAGTGCAATCACCACAGGCACAAGAGTAGATGCCTTGTCCGTATGCGTGGCTCCAGACTTCGCAGGCTCAGCTGCTGGATGCAGTGAGGGCGTTGCCGTTGGTAACGCAGACGTGGCCATTGTTGGAGACGTTGACGCGTACGAACTCGAAGCAGTGTCGAGACCTAGCAAAGAAGAAGAAACGCATACATGTGGAACATCGCTGCTGAGAATTCTCGCGTTCTCATTACAGCTGTATCTGCAAAAGCACGGGTACCGTCTCCTAGCCTAGACCTACCAAGCAGTGTAGAATGCTTGCTAGTATATTAAAAAGATAATAATGACACAAACAGAACTTCTACTTCGTAGTACATGTACTCGTACATGCAAGTTTGGAATTAGAATCAAGAATTAGAGCATGAGTAAACTAATGTCAAAGTGGAAACTGCTCGTGGTTCGGGCCGCTTCAAATCGATGGGTGGGAAATAAGGGTGTGTATATCCGCACCCTGGAATAAGGCGAGTAATTTTATTGCTTACTTCGAAGTACTCAAAACACAACATTTAAAAACACAACTTTCTTGGAAAGTTCATTACATGGGCGTACCAGAGCCTTCAGGCAGCACAATAGCACTGCGTGACTCGTCACTCATCTCATTGTCGTTGGTGATGACGTATGCGTTCAGTTGGATGACGTCATTGCGGGACCCTCGCTGCATCACAACGTGGGGTTCTTTGTAGCATGTTACGTTGGTTCTGCTATCTACTGTCAGCGTTGTTATTGCAATGCAATACTGCCGTATCGCCGATGATTCCATAGTATGCGATATAGTAATGGAGACGTTCCTGTCCGTGACGTTGACCGAAATGGTTGGTGGAATTACTGTAAAAATAGAGGTTTCAATTGGAAAAAGAAGCGAAACACAAAAAAAGCCATTAACAAGGCCAATTGTACACACAACATTTCCATATTCTGTGAATGCTCCAATACCCCTTCGGATAACTAGAGGATGGATGCTTTGATTTTACTTACCTTCGAAGTATGCTGCAGTGTAATGATTCTTTTACGATGAAATAGTTATAAGCAATAAAACCACTGAAACGTATCAAAAGCTTTGGAGTACCTTGACAGAAGACGGAGCTCCATTGTCATCACAAATATTTGGCATGCTTGTCCCTTTGACTTGCGATGTACATGTGTAGCGTATAGCATATCGTACATGTATTATGCATTACTAGTACCCAGTGCCCAGTGGTGTAGACAGCAGGCTCTTTCGGCCATAAAAGCCTCATCAGTACAGCTCCGAGCGTTAACTTTTAAAACTAGGCCAAGCTATCAGCCATGGTGCAATGGACGCACCACAGACAATAGGATGGCTAGTCCCCGCTCTAGCGCCAGAGTGCTTACACTACGAAAAGCAGCGGGCAATGCGTAATGCAGCAGCACTAGAGCAACCTACCGAGAGTGCTCAACAAGACGAATGTCGAGAAACGTGATACTAGTACATGTACACGACATCTTTTTTCATTTCTTAGTACTGACCGCTTTAATGCGCTTCCCAAATCCCTTCGCACTAATCATATCCCCAGTTCATTTCGCCAGGAACTTTACACATTCACTCATTTTGGGAAACCTGTAAGAAGACCTTAGGGTCTGTTGGAAATGTCCAAGTAAAACAACCGCAGCCTTAGTACTCCTTGTCAGTTTTGTGCTAGATTGTGCACGTCTGACTGTTCAATATCTGGTTTAGTTGGTGGACTCGATCGTATAACAAACATGTGCCCACAACTTCCATTTTACATAAAATAATAAAATACAATACAAAAAAATGAGGAAAAGCCATGACTTACGCAGACAGCTTCCTTGTACTCGCGTCCATTCAGCCGACACCATTGATACATTCCCACACCTTACTGTGGGATCGCTACCAGCAAATCTAAATCCTTTGTCACAAGACAGGGCCGCGACAGAACCAATAGTCCGGCTGTCGGTCACTACTTTGCCATTGGGCATGGTCGGTGGTTGGTCGCAAAGAACATCTGCGATTTCACAAAATGAGTAAACACAACATGCGGAATGATTTATTAATAGAAAAGAAAAGGACCAAGAAACTACAAATGATTTATTTCGTATTATTCAAAGTTTGTGTTACAACACAGCATGACCATACAACCAGCACTGTCCAAGCGCGGTCTCTAAGCAACGCCAATCACTACACCGATCACTGCATCCATGGCGATGGGCTTCACTCGAAATTTGCATGATTTTCGTTTTGAGCGATTTGGTTGTATACACAGAAAGCCTTTGGAGAGTGTTGCGGGGATGTGTGGTTATAGTGAATAGATGCAGTGGAGTCTGGGCATATTGAGAAATGCAACACCGTATCTACATGTATACAAATATTCACTGGTTTGAGGGAAAGATGCATCCATCTATCAATCTACCCACTCTCTTTTTGGCCAAGGGCCATCGTGAGAAATAATAATTATACCTGGTCAGTTTTGGTTATAACGTAAGAGCTGAGCATGCATATAAGTATGTGCCATGTACTCATACCTTCACAAATCAGCCGGTCTCCAGTCCACTGACCCTGGGAATTGCAAACCAGTTTCTTCACACCACTCAGAGGACGTGTAGCAGGCAGACAAGTGTACGTTGCCTCCGCATTGAGCATGGTCGCGTCGTAGCTCACAGCAGATTTTGATTCATCCGGAGGCCGCCCGCAGTCAATATCTGAGAACATGACAAAACGGACGAGGAAAGTACTGGCTCGCAATGGCGATGTAGACAGTTGTTTAATTTGTAGCCTACCGCAATGCGCCAAACATAGTCATCAAGAAGTACGACTCAGTGTTCAGTACATCAATTTTAACGATGCTGTCAACGTGGCTTGGAGGAAAAGTGAATACCAGTAGCTAAAATAAGGCAAGTGTGAAAGAAAAGGCTCCCAAGCCAATACAATCTGAAGCGGTAAGGTTGTAACACCCCACCCCTCCATCTAAGAGCGTGGAAGTCGCAACATACCTTCACAAGTATGAAGACTGCCAGACCATAGACCGCGGGGAGTGCAAACGGACTGTCTGTCACCTCTAACAAAGGTTGAGTTTGCCCAGCAGGTGTAACGGGCTTCACTATCCAGGGTCGTGGACGAGTACTCAATGAGGGATTTGAATCCTGCCGGTGGTGGGCCACAGTCTATTGCTGCATTCAATGCATAACAATAACAGAAGAACAAGTAAACATCGTAAGAAGACAGGCATTTTGCCTCGTTGTTGGACTGGCATCCACCAGTCGTGTTCCCGTTCCGTAACCTGCTCGTCCTACATGTATACTGTATTCCCAAGGTATACTTTACACATGATGTCGGCTTAATGCGTGTTTACTCTCCGAACTACAATCTGTGTTTCCGAACGAAACAGTACCCAACTAGAAAGGTCAGCATTCAAACTCGGCAATGTCAATTCATTCATACGATCGGGCAATAAGCGTGCAAGCAGATATGACTGTAATGAATCATAACCTCACTCTGTCAAGATCATGTAAATCTAAACGAATATATAACCTTAGAATACATCTCCCCCCCCACGGTATAGGAACTTGCACAGATGATTTGACGTTAATCTCAACAGTAAATAAGACCATTGGAGCAATCTAGTATAACATACGTTGACACGAGCCAGTAAATGCGGTCCATTCGGCTGAAACTGAGGATATCCTCTCGCAGGTTATCACAGGATTACGTCCATCAATTGCGAAACCCTCATTGCAGTAAATGGCGGCAAGAGAGCCGATTGTGCGTTTGCTGATGAGTGCGCTTCCGTTGGAGATGACAGGTAGTGCCCTACACAATATATCTGGACATTAGAAGAAATAAAATGCATAGAGTATGATTACAATTCCAGGCATTGTGTGTATTAGATCACCTGCAGTCCATTTCAAAACTATAGACGCGTAGGGTTTTTGAAATATTTCAAATTTGGCTGGAGCTTTTTAAGAATAGTTTTCGGAATATTGCTCAGGTCTGCTCCACAACTACTCTCATATAGTTTCTAAACGATTGGATAACAGACGCCCAATTTGGAAAAATTTATGCACAAAGTGGTCACAGATTTTATGTGGTATAGATGCTGGCATAACGGTTTTTGCCTAGGTACGCGTCTATAGTTTTGAAATGGACTGTACTTGATTATAACGCTCACATCATTTGGGAAACATGAAAGGCGGCACAAGAAGCCCAGCAAATAAGCCTTTAACGTGCAGCAAATACGACCTGGTGTGCAAAAATCGGGTACCTGACCACCGCAACAAGCCACTGCTCGATCCCGTATTACATACCTTCACAGTTTAGAGGTGTACCTATCCATTCGCCCTGAGCACTGCACACAAGTTGCCGATTACCATCCAGCGGTCTAGTGTCGTTCAGACACGTGTACGTCGCCGTGCTGTTGTGTGTTGTTGTGAAATAGCTCACGGAAGCCCTCTCCCCATTAGGGGGACGTCCACAGTCGATATCTGAACAAACATAGGTTCAAAAACGATGTTTTGAAAGTCAGCAACATATACATGGAAGCAGGCCAACACCTGCGTTCGTGTCGGCAATTGAAAATGAAGAAGCAGACTACAAAAGAACAGAGGAAAGACTGTCACGCCAACTTGCCACCTGGCACATCACCAATCCAGAGGCACACAGAATACAGACACAGAGAGTCACACACGCACACACACACACACACACACACACACACACACACACACACACACACACACACACACACACACACACACACACACACACACACAAACACACACACACACACACACACACACACACACACACACATACACACACACTACTACTATTGACAGCTGCCAGAATTGGCCACGCCGCTCCCAGATGGGAGGTACTGTCAGAGAGGTAAGGGGGGAGGACGGCAATGCTACAAGTGGCGATCCAGATCTTGCCGACTCCGGAAACGTCGGTTGTGGCAAACTTTGCAGTGAAACTTGAATTGCTGGCGTTCAGCCATAGTGAGGCGCTTTGGACAAGTTCCACAACGGCGACGCTTGAGACCCGCAGCCGATTTAAACGAACGCTGACAGGTTGTGCAAGGTACACCTGGAACAAAAAGAGGAGCAGGGGCAGGGGCCGGCGGCTGGTCGTCATCGCCTAGCCTACACTTATGCACCGCAAAGGCTCCTCTGCTACGTAGCCATCGGTTGCATGTTGGACACGGTACTGACCCAGGATGCTCCGATACCGGGAGCTGACGGATTGTTGAACACTTCTGCCAGGCCATGTCGGAACACACACACACACACACTTTGTACATTCATTTTCTCGAGGACAGGAAGTGTTTGCGACAGATAAAATGGACACATCAAGCAATGGATTCGATCGAAAGCTAGGAATAAAATAAAAAAATATTTCACGGTTCGCGTGAGACTCGCCCTGAAGCCAAGTTTTCCGCATCCGTCATGGGAACGCCACCACCCTCTAGGATCAAAGGCGCAGATGCAGCGCCTAAACGGTGGAGGCATGCAGGACAATAAACAATTTGAAGCACCGAGATGGTAACACGCCACAACTTACCTTGACATGTGTGAAGACCGCCAGACCAACGCCCGCTGGAAGTGCAAAAGGACTGTCTGTCGCCTTTAGTGTACGTTGCATTTTCCCAACATGTGTATTGGGCTCCACTATCCAGTGTCGTGGATGAGTACTCAACGACGGACTTGAATCCTGCTAGTGGCGGGCCGCAGTCTATCGCTGCATAAAGCGCATAAATAAAAAAAATAAATTTCACGGTTCGCGTGAGACTCGGCTGGAAGCCGAGTTTTCCGCATCCGCCGTGGGAACGCCACCACCCTCTAGGATCAAAGGCGCAGATGCAGCGCCTAAACGGTGGGAGGTGAGTAGATCAGACCCACCACCAAGTGGTCAAAGACCGAAATCCCATTAGCTGCATCCATGTTACCCTCGTGCCAGGCCACGAGTTCCCAATTAACTGTGGGTCGCAGCACGGCTGGAAAAATTCCTTCCGCTTCCAAGCAGGACTTGAACCTGGTACCCTCTGTTTCTCAATCATGGTCTTAGACCATCCCACTATGCCTGCCTGTATAAAGCGCATAACAAGAGATCAAACAAAATGTTTAAAAGGACAGGCATTTTGCCTTGTTGGTGTACTTGAGCCCTCGTATCCGCCAGTTGCATTCCCGTTGCATTAAACCTGGGCGTGCTTTATTCACAGGATATACTTTTTAATATGATTCTTTTTAAATAATTCTATATTTTAGGATTTCCCAAAGACACAGTCTAAATTGAAGGGAGTTCCATTATAATGTGAAGCTGTAGGGTGGAGATAGCAAACATTGGATACTAGTTAATGAACAGCCTAGCACAAAAATACATAATAGTGGGCTGAATGACGTCGACATAATGCGTGTTTTCATCACTTTCGAAGCTGTGCCACACTAGAAAGGTCAGCATTCGAATTCACAATGTGAGTTCATTCATATGAACGGGCAATAGGCGTGCAGGTAGACGTGCTGTAAATCCTCACTCTGTCAAAATCATGAAAATCCGTACGAATTAATAACCTTAAAATATATCTCCCCGGGATGGGAACTTGCACAGAGGAGTTGACATTAATCCCAACAGTAAATAAGCTCATTGGAACAATCTAGTATAACATACGTTGACATGAATCAGTAAATGCGGTCCATTCGGCTGCAACTGAGGATATCCTCTCGCAGGTTATCACGGGATTACGTCCATCAGCTGCGAAACCCTCATTGCAGTGAATGGCGGCAAGAGAGCCGATTGTGCGTTTTCCGATGAGTGCGCTTCCATTAGAGATGACAGGTAGTGCCCTACACAATATATCTGGATATAAGAAGAAAGCAAATACATACAGTATGAGTACAAATCCATGCATTGTGTGTATTAGATCACCTGCTTGATTTTAACGGTTGATTCGTTGGTTTATTTTGTGTTTGTCGCGCTGGAAACGGAGCGTCTCTCAAAGTTTGTGTCCCTAGTGATGTTTGTGCCTGAAGAGCACTATATAAATGGTGCTCTTCAGGCACAATCCTCCTCAGCCTACTCAAGCTCAACTGAGGAGGGGTGAATTCCCCGATACGCTGTGTATTGAGCAGGGAGTGGGGCTTTCTTGCAGGTTTGCCGAGTGGACGGTTCGATGGACTTCTCGTGAGCTTTGGATGGCAGTCGTGAGTCAGTCAAATGAGAATTGAAGTCGGCAGGTAATCCGCGAGCATTATAATCAGGGAGCAACACACACTTCCCCAACTATCGTCGAAGTCGCACCAACCTCTTCTTCACATGGTTTATTTTAGTTCGCACAATGAACAGGAACTAGCGCCAATGATATGAAGGCGAATGGTTAAACCGCATTTAGAAAAGGAAGGACAGGAATTAGAAAATACGAAAGAAAACGTATCTGACGAAGGAGTCAAGGAGAGCTAGGGGGCGGGATAGTCAGAGCACCTTTATGATAAGCAAGTTATGCTAAACTTTTTCTGTCTGGCTATGGTCCGAACAGCAGGTCCCAGAGTGCAGATTATAATGTTCACATCATCATTTCGGAAACATGAAAGGTGGCGCAAGAAGACAAGCAAATATTCCGTTCATGTGCAGCAATTACGATCTGGTGTGCAAAAATCGAGTACCTGACCACCGCAAAAGGCCCCTGCTCGATCCCGTAATACATACCTTCACAGTTTAGAGGTGTACCTATCCATTCGCCCTGAGCACTGCACACAAGTTGCCCATTACCACCCAGCGGTCGAGTGTCGTTCAGACATGTGTACTTCGCCGTGCTGTTGTGTGTTGTAGTAAGATAACTGACGGAAGCCTTTTCCCCATTCGGAGGAAGCCCACAGTCGATATCTGAACAAACATTTGTAAAAAAACTCTGTTTTTAAGTCAGCAACATGATTATACAAGGAAGTATTCAAACACCTGCGTTCGTGTCTTCAATTGAAAATGAAGAAACAGACATCAAAACAACAGAAGAGAGAATGTCACGCCACCTTACCACCTTGCACTTCACCCATACATAGACACACAGAAACACAGACACAGAGACACAGACACACAGAAACACAGACACAGAGAATCACACACGGACACGCACTTCACCCATACACAGACACACAGAAACACAGACACAGAGACACAGACACACAGAAACACAGACACAGAGACACAGACACACAGACACACAGACACAGGCACACAGAAACACAGACACAGAGAGTCACACACGGACACGCACTTCACCCATACACAGACACACAGAAACACAGACACAGAGAGCCACACACGGGCACGCACTTTGCACAAACACTTGCTCGAGGACTGGAAGTGTTAGCAACAGATAAAATTGGCAAGTTAATTATGCCATGAATTCGTTAATTATGCCATGAATTCGTTAATTATGCCATGAATTCGATCGACAGCTAGGCACCCAAGACAATAAACAATTTGAAGCACCAAGATGGTAACAAGAGAGAATAAATTGAAGACACCACAGCAGCTGTACTTATGGTTGATAAATATGGTGGTAAAGACACACCTGGCAATATGGCGGTAAACACACGCCTGCCCACACACGCTCTCTAGGCTGCAAAGTTCTGGCACGGAGCTCTCCTTCTCACCACCACCTCCATCAGTTCGCGCCTGGCGCCTGGTCGATGCATGGTTGGCGGTATCCGGCGTAGCAGGCTGGTACATCAAGTAGCGCATGGCACATAGAAGATGACACAGCAACGACATAGCTCGATTGCGACGTACGTTTCGTCCCCGCTGGACTCATCAGGCAATCTTCCTCTTGGATGTCTTCATACGGAGCTTGCGCTACTTGATGTACCAGCCTGCTACGCCGGATACCGCCAACCATGCATCGACCAGGCGCCAGGCGCGAACTGATGGTGGTGGTGGTGAGAAGGAGAGCTCTGTGTGTGGAGAGCTCTGTGCCAGAACTTTGCAGCCTAGAGAGCGTGTGTGGGCAGGCGTGTGTTTACCGCCATATTGCCAGGTGTGTCTTTACCACCATATTTATCAACCATAAGTACAGCTGCAGTGGTTTTTTTTTTTACTAAGTACACAACCTACTCGTCAGAAGGGGAGAAGACAACAGAGTATACAATGACAAAACAGCAGGGAGAGTAGGGGCTGCAAAGCAAGCCTGTGCTGGTGAGGCAAGCCCACAACACCGACCTATGGTCTCGGCGTTAACGTGAGCTTGCGCACCATAGCCTAAAAGAGGGGGGTGATTTAGTGCGATAAAGACAAGAGAAGGTGAGGTAGAATGGATGAGGAGAAAGAAAGAGAGAGAGAGAGAGGGGGGGGTGGAGAAAGAGAGAGAGAGGGGGGGGGTGGAGAAAGAGAGAGAGAGAGAGAGAGAGAGAGAGAGAGTGAGAGTGAGTGAGTGAGAGAGAGGGGGTGGGGGTGGGGGTGGGGGTGGAGAGAGAACAAGAAGAGAGAAAAATAGATTCAAAGGCAGTTCAGATGCAGTGAACATCATGCAATGCTTGGGGGGGGGGAGCTTCAGGATGGAAATAGTTCTGAACTGTTAGAGGGAGTCTGTGGCCCAAAGCCACTGGCTTCGGCGAAGATGGTAGTGGACGTTCGCTTTGAAGGATTGTAGGCCCTTAGGAGATGGTGGTTTGGTGAAGAGGGAGGATGGCAGCGCATTCCAGGTGTTGATGATGTTGTATGGAAAGGCGCGTCTTAGGTAGTTAGGAGCGCCTGGAGGGAGAACATTTTCCAGTTGGAAGGGGTGTGAAGCAGACTGTTGGCATTGTCTCCGGGTTACAGGTGCGGCATGGTGGACGACGAGAGGGGGGACCATGGATCTCAGCAGAGGAGGACCTGGTTGGCCCAGCAGCTTGTAGACGAAAGTCAGTGCCGCCACTGTCCGTCGGGCCTCTAGGCTCTGTAGCAAGATGTTGGGTCCCAGGATGTGGAGGGCACGCCTCTGCACTCTGTTAAGGTGTTCAAGGTTAGTGGGAGCAGCTCCCATCCAGACAAGGGGAGCGTACTCGAGCAGGGGCCGGACGAAGCCGTGATACACGGCCAGCATGCCACGGCAGTCCAGAACACGAGCAGCTCTACGTAGGAGGCCAAGACGTGAGTTTGCCCTGGCAGCAACTGACCGGAGATGGGCGGAAAAGGATAGCTTGGAGTCAACCATAACTCCGAGGAGCTTGAGGTGTGGCTGTTGTGGGATGACCTCCCCTCCAAAGTTTATTGCGGGGACAGGCCAAGGCTGCTGTTGATGGCAGGAGATTCGTAGGAGCTGCGACTTGGATGGTTCAAACTTAACATGCCACTTTGTTCCCCATGCATGTAACGCATTAACGGAAGCTTGAAGACTGTCAGCTTGGTGTATGGCATCATCGCGTGTATTGACGCAGGCATACAGCGTGGTGTCGTCTGCAAATGTTCCCATTTCAGACCCTGGAGCCAGACAGCTATCAGCATCATTTACATATACTAGGAACAAGGACGGTCCAAGGATGCTGCCTTGTGGTACTCCTGCAGAGATCGGATAGCGATCGGAGCTCTTGCCGCCGATGACCACTTCCAGCGAACGACCTGTTAAGTAATCTCTAAGCCAGTCCAGGAGGGGGCCCTTCACACCGATGTTCCGCAACTTGTGCAGTACACCTGTGTGGGAGACTTTGTCAAAAGCCCCGGCGATGTCGACAGCAAGCACCTCCACAGATCCACCAAGGCCAGATGTGGCCGACCACTTGTGGTGTAGTCCCGTAAGTAGATCGGATGGACCTAGGCCTCGGCGAAAGCCAAATTGCCTTGGTGATAGGAGGTTTTGTCCCTCCAGAAAGTTCATTAACTGGCGGTTGATGATGGACTCCATTACTTTGGAACATATAGAAAGCAGCGAGACTGGTCGGTAATTCTTTTCAGCGGATTTGGAGGACTTTTTTTATACTGGAACTACTCGGGCAACCTTCCATGCCTGTGGTTGGTGGCCAGTACTGAAAGACAGGGAGAAGAGGCGTGCTAGGGGCCCCGCAAGCTCAGTTGCGCATTCCTTGAGTACCCTAGCTGGGATATTGTCCGGTCCAGTGGCTTTGGAGGAGTCGAGTCTTGCCAGATGTCGTCGTACTGTGTCAGCCCGGAAATGGATCCTTGTGACTGATGGAGTTTTACTGTCGCCAGAGGCAGCAGGCAGGCTGTCCACTGATATGTCGGAGGCAAGACTGCATTTCTTGGAAAAGAATGATCCAAAGCAGTTTGCCTTTGCCAGGTTGGTTGCGCATTCCTGCCCATGTGCATCAATCAGGGTTGGGATATCAGAGGAGCGCTTAACACCAGCGACTGATTTCATCACCGACCACCACTGTTTGTCACGCAGATTACCCGCACAGAGCTAAGCCCGGACACGCCGTTCCCAAGCTAGGCGGGCCGTGTCCATCACAGTTGAGGCATGGTTGACTGATTGTAAAAATGTCTGCTTCAGAGGCTCAGAAGATGGAAATCTCCTCCAGCGCCGCCAGGCCTGTTCCTTGAGGACTACTGCGTCCAGACACTCTGGGTTCCACCATGGAGGGTCAGAGGGTGTTGTAGTGTATTGCTTGCACGGGATAAATCGGTGCATCCCCACTAGAATTGTCTCTGAGATGACATCCCAGACCTTGTTGCAGTCGGTATGGGGAGCAGTGACTTGCAGCCAATCTAGCGATCTGAAGTGTGCCCTCAGTCTCGACCAATCGGCTTTGTTGTAGCGCCATACTGTTCTAGTAGAGCTCTCCTCCTCTGAGGGAGAAACTGTCAAGAAGTCTGCGATGATGACCGCATGGTCAGAGCGTCCAAGGGGCTTACAGATAGAAGTGCTCACATGCCCAGGCAAGTCTGAAAGGACAAGGTCTAGAATGGCATCACCTCTAGTGGGATCCGTGATATGCTGCGTGAGGCAATAAGCAGATGCTAGATCCTCCAGTGCAAGACCAGCCAATGTTGTTTTACTACTTTTGAGCCAGGCGGAATTGTGGACATTAAAGTCCCCTGCAATGACTACATGGTCACCGAGTTGCTGTGCTGCAGGTAATGAGCTGTCTAGGTAGTCGATGACGGAGCAATCTGATGGGCTACTTGAACCGGAACGATACACAGCACAGACTACAACCTTGCCATGAGAGCATGAATCTACTAAGAGCCATACTACCTCAAAACCTTTACAGTCAATGGTGTCAAGGTGCCGAGCATGCAGGTTGGACTTCACCCAGACAGCTACGCCCCCGCCTGAAGCAGTTCGGTCGTGGCGAATAGGTGCTGCATAGCCAGGAATAGTTGACATGGCGAGTGGAACCTTGTCCGGCGTGAATTTCGTTTCTGTGACGATCGCTATATCAGGCTTAGTTGAACTCAGATTGTTTTGGAACTCGCCGAGTTTGGACAGCAGCCCAAAGGCGTTTGTGACTAGCAGCCGGAGACTTGCAGTAGTCATTCTGCCAAGCCGGACTGCTCCGTGTTGACTCCCGGGCTGCGAGGCAAGTCGTCACGATCAGGCTCAACTGAACGTTGCTTAAACTTCCACGGTCTGGCATAGAGTGACCTTGGCCAGAAGTTTGGTGAGGTGATGAGTGCGATGGCAGTGGCATCCACAGTGATCCTTGCAGATATCTTGCCATTTTCAGCCTTGTGGATGCTACAGTTATGGACAGTAGCTGGAGTCCCGGCTGTGCCTGACCTTTTCAGGGTGAAAGCTTTGATGTCGTCGTCAGTGCATGACTCACTCAGGTTACCGACATACAGGACAGATTTCTTGGGTCTGGGTGGCTCTGATGACACTAGCTGCCAACTATCGTCAGAAATGACGTCCAGAGGCTGGAACGCCTCGCCGTACTCCTCAAGTTCCACGCTCGTCACGTCGTGCTGCATGTCTTCGTCACTCTGCGCCTCTGGGTCACCGCCCGTGTCACCCACGCTACGGGGCTCACCCGTACTACTACTACTAGTGCACCCGGCAGCCTGGCCTGGGTGGGTACGGGTACGATTTCTGGACGATTTCGCACGCGTACGCTGGCTCTGCTGAGCAGCTTGAAATCTCGGCGGAACACTTGCCTTGGCAATGGCGGCTTCCTTGAGGGATACAACCTCCTCAGTCAGGCCGGACACCTGCCGCGACAGCTCATCAATCCTTTTGTTGAAGCGAGCCTCACGATCGGCCGACTCGGACGCTAGGTTAGCCAGGGTCTTGATTACTTCCAGCACAGACGACTCAATACCCGGAAGGGAGCACAAAAGTTTCATCTCTGCCTCTGAGAGCCCCTTGAGGGCGGTCTTTGTAGTTGGGGGCATGGCGGCCAGAGGTGGGTCAGCCCTACTACTAATCTATACTTACTACTAGTACTGGTCCTCTTGGCCACGCCGAAGGGCTGCCAGGAAGCCGTGGAAACTAAAAACTGCGGAGCTCAAAAATTTGCTTCCACTTCACACATATACAGTGTACTAACTGTCTTCAATTTATTCTCCCGAGTCAAGCTCCGTATGAAGACTTCCAAGAAGAAGATTGCCTGATGAGTCCAGCGGGGACGAAACGTACGTCGCAATCGAGCTATGTCGTTGCAGTGTCATCTTCTAGTGCCATGCGCTACTTGATGTACCAGCCTGCTACGCCGGATACCGCCAACCATGCATCGACCAGGCGCCAGGCGCAAACTGATGGTGGTGGTGGTGAGAAGGAGAGCTCTGTGCCAGAACTTTGCAGCCTAGAGAGCGTGTGTGGGCAGGCGTGTGTTTACCGCCATATTGCCAGGTGTGTCTTTACCACCATATTTATCAACCATAAGATGGTAGCAAGTCACAACTTACCTTGACATGTGTGCAGACTGCCAGACCAACGACCAGTGGAAATGCAAACGGACTGTCTGGTGCCTCTAATGTACGTTGCGTTTTCCCAACATGTGTATTGGGCTCTACTATCTAGCGTCGTGGATGAGTATTCAACGACGGACTTGAATCCTGCTAGTGGCAGGCCGCAGTCTATTGCTGCAATCAGTGCATAAGAAGAGATCAAACAAAACATGGAAGAAGACAGGCATTTTGCTTTGTTGTTGTACTCGTACTAGTGTCTGCCAGTCGGGTTCCCGTTGCATAACCCTGGCGTGCAATTTTCAAAGGGGATACCTGACACATGATGTCAACTTAATGCGTGTTCTTCATCACTTTGGAAGCTGTACCCAACTTGAAAGCTCAGCATTCAAATTCGGCAATATCAATTCAATACGAACGGGCAATAAGCGTGCATGCAGATCTGTCATAAATCCAAACTTCACTCTGTCCAGATCATGTAAATCCAAACGAGTTGTTAACCTTAAAAATGCATATCCCGAGATGGGAACCTGCACAAATCAGTTGACATTAATCCCAAAAGTGAAGAAGCCCATTGGAACAATCTAGTATAACATACGCTGACATGAACCAGTAAATGCGGTCCATTCGGCTGCAACTGAGGATATCCTCTCGCAGGTTATCACGGGATTACTTCCATCAGCTGCGAAACCCTCATTGCAGTAAATGGCGGCAAGAGAGCCGATTGTGCGTTTGCCGATGAGGACGCTTCCGTTGGTGATGACAGGTAATTCCCTACACAATATATCTGGATATTAGAAGAAGGCAAACACATACAGTATGATTTCACTTCCATGCATTGTGTGCTGATTAGATCACCTACTTGATTTTAACGCTCACATCATTTGGGAAACATGAAAGGTGACGCAAGAAGCCCAGCAAATAAGCCTTTGACGTGTACCCAGATACGATCTGGGGTGCAAAAATCGGGTACCTGACCACCGCAACAAGCCACTGCTAGATTCTGTATTACATACCTTCACAGTTTAGAGGTCTCCCCATCCATTTGCCCTGAGCACTGCACGCAAGTTGCCGATTACCACGCAGCGGTCGAGTGTCGCTCAGACATGTGTACGTCGCCGTACTGTTGTGTGTTGTTGTGAGATAGCTCACGGAAGCCTTGTCCCCGTTCGGGGGACGTCCACAGTCGATATCTATAGAAACATTGAATTTAAAAAACAATTTCAGGTCAGTTTGATCAGTTTGTCAAACTAAAATCGAAGGCGGCAGATATGGCTGTCCAAAAAGGGAGAAAATGTACACAGAAACTGGCTTTCAGCCACATAAAACGCATGACAAAAGTAAGAAGATGCGGGGGGGGGGGGGGTTGGCGAAAAACACCAAACAGGTAATTATATGGGGAATATGAGCGAATGGAAACACTACGGGGGACGTGAATTGCAGCACTATGTGGACATAGGGATAGTTCATGTTAGGAAAAGGAGGGGATGCTAATTATCTTGAAAGACAAACACTGTTACTGAGCGGACAAGTTAGGTCAAATGTCACATGACTCCTGGTTAATTATACAGATGAAGAAGACCCAAACACATTCCTTAGCCTCAACGCCTGGCCCAGGAAGCTAATCGTGGTGTTAGGATGACACGCACTGCTAAGCCTCTTAATGAACCCCTTGTTGTCCGCACGTGCACGCATCGAACCAATGGGATCTATGGGACTAGCATTTTCAAATTGTCGCAACTTGGTCAAATATCAGTCTTTTGGAGCGATCGCAATCTGTAGGTCGAATAGAAAACTCTTGATAGTTAGTTCCACACACCTTGGCAGACATACGGCTCGCCTGACCACCGTCCCGAGTCCGTACACATAGCATGCTCGCTGCCACTAACGTATGTGGTATTGGGCCAACATGTGTACGTGGCGGAGCTTCCAGCCGCTGTGGATTGATAGGCTGCTGTTGCCTTGTATCCTGCTAAGGGCGAGCCACAGCTTACTTCTGCATAGACCACAAGGAAAGTAAGAGGTTATGTTAGCAGCTATGTTTTGTATCATGGAAAAAAGTAGGCACAAGTTATGCGACAGAGTCCACCAACTAAACCAGATTTTGAACACTCAGATCATGCACAATCTAGCACAAAACTGAAAAGGAGTACTGAGAAATTCCACGGCATGACAGTCGGTTTGAACAGTGCTCGCTAGCGCTAAGGAAATGGCCTGCCAAATTGGAAGGTTCATGGATATTACTGTAAATTTCAGAGAGGGAAGGCCGTTGGTTCGTGCTATCAAGCAATGGTCAAGCTGAATTTCAAGCCGTGGAATGTTTGGGTAACCCTAGTCTGTTTTGTGCTAGATTGCGCAAGTCTGACTTTACACGATCTGGTTTAGCTGGTGGACTCGGTCGCATAACTTTTGCCCACATTTTTCGATGTTACATTTTTTTACCTTGGCTAACGATCTATGCAATGTGTTGAGTAAATCTTCCTTCCACAAAATCAATATCATTTCAAGGATGGAATATGACAGAATGGCCATCAGAAAATGTGAGTTGTATCTACTATGAAGAACATTTAAAAAAAAGTAAAGTTTGCACGTCCGCGTTACCACCGGCTATACAATTGCGTTGAGAAACACAACCAGCTTAGAAAGTTTAGAACAGCATAATTAACTGGGTGTGCAGCGTTTCTGAGACGATCCCTAGCCGTAAAAATGGTGTTCAGTTAACATAGAATGTGCAAGTACAGGTAGATGTTAGACAATGACATCATACAATGACATCATACAATGATATCATACAATGACATCATACAATGGAACAACTGTCATAATTAGAGAGCAAGAGGTGTATAGGGCTAGCGCATGGACACTTGCCCTTTCCCAAAGATGCTGGCGACTTTTCCCGCAACTTTTCGTTGTTTTGGAAGAAATCGCAACTTTCGTCAATTTCGCGAACTGCTTCGAAATGTTTCCGCAACCTTGGCCCAATGGCATGGACGTCAAAAGGTCAAGTCACAGACTACATGTCCGGCAATTGAATACCTGTTCATTTCTCCTCCGCCTTCAGACTCTTATCAGAGAAACAGTAGATCTACGGCAGTTAATTATGTGCATTCCCTTTTGCGTGGACTGAAATGATGAAGGATGCGTGCAAAAGGCTACTTGCACCGTGTAAAGTTGTACTTCACAGCAGAAAGGGGTAAAGAGTTTTCTGTCTCTGCACTTCGGCTATTACCGCTCCTTTTTTGCTTGTTCTTGTATGCACAAGAACTCTCTCATTATTTTCAAGTTGCGATGTTGGCAACATTTTTGGGCTTTTTCTGAAAATATGGATGTGATTTCAGCAACTTGAACTTGTTTTGGCACGGTTGTGAAAAGCATAAGACAGAGAAGAGAAGAGAGAAGTTAGTTGCGAAATTTTGTGGCATCTTTGGGAAAGGGCTAATGGACACTCTTTGATCCTGCTACGAAATTTGGAGCGCCGTCCTTTTTTCAGATGTTTTAAGAAGGGCAAAGTGTGGTGTTTCCAGGTCTGAGGTTTAACAGCAACCCCCAGCATTAGATTCGAAAAGCTAGGACGTTATGGCATGGCTTTGTACATACTCATGCAGCGTCCGGTTGGATTCGACCAGGAGCCGTCATTCCTGCACACTACGTACGGCGCCGCATGGTCAAACGTATATCCACTATCGCATGTGATGTAGGAACGTGATCCAGGCATGCGGCTGGTATTATTCAGTGACGAATGGGGCAGTGGTCTTGGTGTCCTGCAAGGTTTCGCTTCCACAACTGTGGGCGACGCTGGAAGCAAAGCAGAGAACACGAATACATATACATATACAGTCCATTCATTGGAAACTGGCACCCTAACTTTTTGGTGTCTCTGTCACATAGTTGTAGACATCGTGAAAACAACAGTACATCCTGCATTGTGTGGCCCGTGCAATTACTCCTTGCCACATTTGAGGCCAGAAAAGTCCAAGAACAGGGAAATAGAAATTCAGCCAGGTTTTACAAAATCAGGACAGGTATGCCATGGCACAATGTATGGAGAAGCAGATCCCAAACCCAGATTTTTGAGATTTAAAGTGGGTTTTTGATCCTCAATTCGGCCCAAATCCGACTTTCAAAAGCCAGCGGGCCAGTTTCCAATGAATGGACTGTAGTAATGCCCACCCATATGCTGCCATAGCTTCTACGATGTTCTTCCACAGGCACTTCTAGGCCAAGCTTTCGCCATCATTTTATTGGGTCTTCATCCCGTGTGAATGTACGAAGTAAAATACAGCGAACAACAAACCAGCAACAATACCGGAGGATGCATCTAGTGTGCTGACAGCGCTCAACACCGCCGAGAGTACAGAAATACGTACGGATTACATTTGGAACAACATTGGTCTGCACGTACGATTGAAGGCGGAGGGGAGGGGGGGGGGGCGGCGGTACACTGTGAATAGGCATGGAACGATGGAGAACTAATTGAACAGAAAAAGAATAGATTTTGATACTGAAAAAGGACAGAGTTAAGGTGACGTCCGAAACAATGCTGGCATGTACAATTTCAACAGTCAGTTGCCATGACGATAGCACGTGGTATGGGAATTGATCTTACCTTCACATATTCGAGGTCCACCAGACCAAAGGCCATTAGCCTGGCAGAGAGATTTGCTACTTCCGCTAACATAGGATGCATTGTCCCAGCACGTGTACAGAGCTGAGCTCTTCACAGTTGTCGAGGAGTACGTTACGTTCGATTTGAATCCATTCGGCGGCGGTCCGCAGTTTATTACTGTATGGAAGATACAATGCAATCAAGATAGAAATTATCGGAAAAGGCGGGTACTAATGTGAATATGGACCCATTGATTGTCTGCGAACAAGAGTCAGTAACGTAAGTATTGATCAGCGCAGTTGCAGCGTCACCATCACCTGTCATAGACTTGGACAACCACGGGCTGAACCAAGCTTCGCGATTCACAGGGATTTAGTGCAGACAATAAGAAGACATTCATGTGTGTTTCCTCTATGCGCTGCGCGATCTGCTCCTATTGATGGCGCATGAGAATAATTTTGCCGGTTCATGCACGCAACAGTTGATTCTGCCGCGCAAAAGAAATAATTATAAAAAAATTGTTAATTTGAAACTCGGATGTTGAGCCAAAAAAAATTTAGAAAGGAAAAGGACATATGGATACGAGTTAAGAGTAACTCTCCATCACTGTAACTGGATACTATTATACAGTTTCTGACTGTATAATAGTATCCAGTTACAGTGATGGAGAGTTACTCTTAACTCGTATCCATATGTCCTTTTCCTTTCTAAAATTATTAATAAAGATGATAAGAAGAAGACAATGCGTGTGCCATAAACAGGAGTAATGCCTCAGACTCAGTGTGTGTATAATGAATGCAAAATCAATATCGGGTACGATTTTTTTTGGCTTCGAACCCTATTTCTACACGGTCCGAGTGAGACTCAGCTGAAGGCCGAGTTTTCAGCATCCGCAGGAACGCCATCACTCTCTAGGATCAAGGGACAGATGCAGCTTCTAAGGCTGCGTTTACACGACAACGATTGAAAACGATTTGTGTTTACACGACAACGAAATACGACCTAAACGGAACGAAATCGTTGCGTTTACTACTATCGTTTACACGACAACGCCCGAAAACGATACCTAAACGGAACGAAATGGAAACGCACTTCAAAGTGTTTTGAAACGTTTTCAAAACGTTTTCGTTCTCGTGTAAACGGTGAAAAAAGTGAAAACGATTGGAAACGGAGCGCGGTCATGGAAACCATTCCGCGCTGGAGTATATTTCGCGGGAAATACCCAACCCTTGCGACCACCAGCACGTACCAACTCCAACTAACGTGTTACTTCCCGCCCTTTCGCCAAGCTAGCACGTGCAAACTGCAGCCTGATCGCCCGTTTTCCGTTTTCGTGTAAACGGTTCAAAACGATTTGCCGTTCTCGTGTAAACGGTTTGAAAACGGTTCGAGGCCAGCCCGTTTTCGTTCTGTTTCGTTTCGTTTCGTTTCATTTCGTCTCCGTGTAAACGCAGCCTAAGCGGTGGGAGGTGTGTAGATCTGACCCACCACAAAGTGATCAAAACCGAAAATCCCATTCACTGCAGCTGCGTTTCCCTCGTGCCAGGCCACGAGTTCCCAATTAACTGTGGGTCGCAGCATGGCTGGCAAAAATCCTTCCGCTTCCAAGCCGGACTTGAACCAGGTACCCAGTCATGGTCTTAGACCATCCCACTATGCCTGCGTCTGGACGCCGCGCGAACGGGTGGAGGCATTGCTCCATATCCTTACCAAAGGACTAGAAACTTGAAATCGCCCAAAAAGAGCAAGGAGACTGCACAAGCGAAGTTCAAACGCAGGTCAGTTTTGATGCCTCCCGTAAAAATCGAAAAATCGAGTAAAAACCGATGTGCCATTACATCATCGATTTTCAATGGGCCCCCTGCTCGTACCCTAGACAGTTGTACCCTATATAGATTTTGTATTCATGATGTTATTTAGTATCCATACCTGTAAGCAGAAATACTCAATAGATGTAACGGATTATAATACCCTACCTATGCAGTCATCTATAGGTTGCATCCATCTTCCGTCTGCTCCGCACACCACGTACGACCGAGTTCCATTGAACATATATCCACTGTTGCATGTGACGTAGGCATACGACCCAGGCGTTGTGGTTGCTGCTTTAATTTTACCATTCGGGACTCTAGGGGGCGTGCTGCACGATTTCAGTGTTACTGCAAGCAAATACACGAAAAAGAAAAAAAGCACGTTGCGGCACGGAGCTTGAAAGGTGAACTAAGTGTCTATAGATCGTGCTCAATAGCGAAGCTGTCAAAATACAGGAACGTATCTTGTCGAGAATGATAATACGAGATAATGCACAATGCTCCCATTCAACGCCAATAAAAGAATATGGCTCACGGGGAAAAAGAGTGGCAAAGAAGCAAGATCCTTGCATGTTTGAATATTCCAATCACGATAATTCTCAACAGACTTTACTTCATGTCCACATACAGATCAAGTCAAACTAGAAAGGCTCAAGACTGTCTAAGTCCATCAAAGTGCCAGTGTCTATGGAAGGACCACTTAAAAATAACATTTTATATTCACTGTGGCAGCCTCCTCGATAGGCTCTCTGGGATATACGTTGACTAATAGGACATTCACACGACGTGCAAACTCATTTTTATCGTACAGTTTGCAAGGATATTTACTCGCGCACGATAAACTTGGACACACGCGTGCAACTGCTTTTTGAACTTGACCAGGGCCATTGTGCTCACGATTTTACTTTGCTCGCCAGAAAATGTGTCGGTTGTTGAAAGTGCTTGAACAAAGGAAATTCAAGATTTAAAAATTCCCTGCATTTTCAGGAGGTCACTATGGGTACATCGACGTGTGCAAAGTTCGCCCAGCACCGTGTGAACTGGATCATGGTTTGCCAGTGTTATCTTGGTCACACGCGTGGAAGTGCTTGCACCCCGTGGGAATGGCCTATAAATATAATATACTATACAGTCGAGTCGCCGATGTCCAAGGGCAAGTCTATGTACAACATAAGGTGGAGTCAGACAACTGTTATAATTATGATGATCACTGAATCTGCGGGCAGAACTGTTTTGTCCTTTGTGAACGCATCAGCAAAGCACAGAGAACATGAGACCGAACCTGATGGCAATTGAAAAATTAATTTTCCAAAGCCAGATTTAAACCAGCCCGAACGTACCTTGCCATAGTCCTCAAATTGAATTATGATAATTACGATAACTATCTTGATTACCTCCTTGTGCGGGAGGACCAGAGTCGCAACACTTTAGACTCAGATGTTGGCAGCGGATATGTGTCTTCGCTTGGCCAACGACGAGGGCACTGAACGCTTCAGGGGTCGACCTCGGACGACTTTGGTATTCTATTTTATTTCATACTTTGGATGAAGTTTTCCATTAGTCCTATTGGTATTGTTGCTAACGGCTTTCGTTGACGTCACTTCTGTCATTTCATTGTATCGTATTACTCTTCAGACATCAATCTTTAATGGCATAAGCGAAAGTGGCACCCCGCCACCTACGCGGACATGCCTTTTTAAAATAATAATAGAGAGCAAAGGATTAATTTATAGGAAAAAGAGGACCAATGAACTACAAGTTACCTTTTAATGCTCACAAAAACCACATGAGCCGATTGTCAAGTAACTAGGGCTGAAACGATCATTCAGTAACTCCTAACGATCAACAAAATTAATATCATTAACGATCGATATATTTGAAACTCGGATGTTGAGCCATAAATAAATGTAGAAAAGAAAAGGACATATGGATACGAGTTAAGAGTAACTCTCCATCACTGTAACTGGATACTATATACAGTCAGAAAGTGCAATAACTAGGCACAAAACTGCCTTCCCCTCTTTGGTCTTTCCATAACCTTGAACCTTCCAAGTTGGAAGGCTGTCGGTTAGCGCTACGGAGATGTGTTGAAGCTAGGTGTCAGGACGTCGAATGTCTCAGTACTCTGTCAGTTTTGTGCCTAGTTATTGCACTTTCTGACTGTATATAGTATCCAGTTACAGTGATGGAGAGTTACTCTTAACTCGTATCCATAGATCGATATATTGGTTATCGATTCTTGACAGCTCTATCGATCACCAGTTTATGAAGAAATTCCATGATACCTTTGCTACGTTAGAAATTTGTGGCACCGCACTGTTGACATCTGTAGATATCTGGCTGGCTTTATCAACATGAACTACTCAAGTAGAGAGCTTCATGTTGTTGCTAGAGCGAAGAATCTTGTCATCACCCTCTGGCAAACTGCTCTCATCTCCGACTTCTCCCACGAATGAACCAAAAAGGCAAAGTCTTCTCTCCCGATCTCTTTCAAAGACACAAATCAATTTAACTGCACTTGAAAGTACATGATTGTACTCGTATCCACTATCGGATGGAGTGCAAGGGCTAGAATACTGTCACTAATATGCATGCATAAAAAATCGTTAGCACTCGTTTTGAACACTAACGATTATCGATTGCACTCTTAACGATCGATATGCGAGTTATCGGTATAATTGTTTCAGCCCTACAAGTAACTGGTGCTATTAGTGCACATACTTCGAAGTAATAGCATAACCCGTAGTTCCTCGGTCCTTTTTTCTTACACCACTTTCCTCATTCTCTGCTTGTTACGTACAGTGTGTATGACGTCATCAAACAGTTGGTGTTGTAATAGCTTACCGCATTCCACTCCCGCATCTTCCGCGTGGCTGCAGTCATGGTCTCCAACTGGATTGCTGGGACATTGGAAAAGAGAACTCTCGTTTCCCACGCACCCCAATCCGTCCAGCAATATCGGATCGCTTCCGCCACCGTAAGTCAGAATACCCCTAAGTCCGAAAGAGAAGCTGCAAAATTCGAAAAGCACGAACGTGGTTTAGTTTAAAAGTATTTAGCCATCCCTATCTGCTAGTACAGTTAGACATTACTTTACGATCACCTTCAAACGTTGCCTCCTTGCGTCCCAGGATAGTCCACATTTATCCACTTCGACACTTTGGTGCCAAGACCATCAGCTCAGCAGGTACTGGGACAAGTGAACAGTGACAAGAAAACCCTGAAACAAGGTGCAAAATCCAGGGGCTCACGGTTCTCACTACAAAACACACAGCCAAACCAGCCATACGGCATACAGTCCTAAATCTCCTCGTAGTGTTTAGGGATTGTTTTGGGAGTTTTGTTTACAAAGAGAAACAAGAATCAAGACAACCTCTACCTTTAGAGCATTCACGCGCACATCCGCGACCTGACATGACCAATGCATAATACAACCTCAGCGAATTATGTTGATATTTTCCTTTCGACAAAACGGGGATCACTATTTCTACTTGAGTTACGAAAGGCCAGTCTCTGCAGATGGCCAGCCCTTCTTTGTACAACCAGTTGATGACGGTTGAAAAGGAATGATTCACAAGAGAACCGTACGTACATGTACAGGAAAATAATAGGATTATACTAACCCCAGTTGACGACAGACAACGTTTGCGTCTTCTTGCCCCCAGTCATCATCACATACCGTCCCCCAGCGGCCGTTGTAGCGAACTTCTACACGCCCTGTAGCGGGACTGGGGCCGTCCACAATACGCACGTTATCGTTAGCTGCATGCACACGGAAGAGAAAACAGCAAAGAATGAACATAGTCATATGTTTCATACAAATGTATTAGTCTGTGCCCATATTGTGTCAAATCCCCGGCTAATAGTAGTACAGCAATGCACGGTATCGCTGTAACAACAGAATTCAGAAGTAAATTGTTGTTGTCTGATTATTGGTTTTTGCCATGAAACTCTGAGTTACAACCAAAAATGGCCCATTTATTTCCTTTTGTGTACCTCTTGCGTACTACGCTCTGCCCATTCGCAGTCATTTGAGCACTATTGCAGGTTTAGGGTCACAGCCTCGGTGAATTCAGAAGTGCAATCAATTTACACGTACTGTTTGCCCCCTTTTGGACCCTCTCATACTTGTTATCGGCACTTTTTGTTTTGCTTGTTCCTTTTCACGTTTTGCTCCGTGCACAATTTTGAACATTTGCTTGTACACTCCAATGCTGTGAAGTTGATTGTTCCAACTAGGAACACACGCTTCTTGCCGAACTTGACACTTGACTGACTCACGACTGCTGGCAGGGAGTGGTGCTTTCTTGCAGGTTTGCCGAGTGGAAGGTGCGACGTGCTCCTCATGTGCTCCGGATGGCAGCCGTGAGACAGTCAAGTGTCAAGTTCGGCAAGAAGCGTGTGTTCCTAGTTGGAACAATCAACTTCATGACTATTACCGCCGAAGTCGCAACTTCTAACTCCAATGCTGTTTAAGATATACATGTTCATGTCCGTTTAAGACCATGGTCATAGTTACCGGAACATTGCATCAGAGTGTGATTGGTGTCCAACCAAAAATACCCGAGCACACCCAAACAAACCACCAGGAAACCACAAAAACGCATAATGCCTGTCGTTATCATTAATTTTTATACCCTAAGTCGATTATGATCATGCAATGTTGCTAACATGTTAGCAGGCGGGACGCGTCAATTGCTAAAGTTTACCGACTTCGTGGCTTGGTGTGATTTAAAATCGCAACAGTTATTACCATTGATCGTGATCGACACAGAAATATACGGGTGAGGATCGTTTGCAAGGATAATTCCACTTTCAGTGCTCAATCAATTGCATCATTTGCCTTGCCTGGATTCTTTCTAAATCTTACCGCATTCCTTAATTCCACTTTCAGTGCTCAATCAATTGCATCATTTGCCTTGCCTGGATTCTTTCTAAATCTTACCGCATTCCTTAATTCCACTTTCAGCGCTCAATCAATTGCATCATTTGCCTTGCCTCGATTTTTTCTAAATCTTACCGCATTCCTTAATTCCACTTTCAGTGCTCAATCAATTGCATCATTTGCCTTGCCTGGATTCTTTCTAAATCTTACCGCATTCCTTAATTCCACTTTCAGCGCTCAATCAATTGCATCATTTGCCTTGCCTCGATTTTTTCTAAATCTTACCGCATTCCACACCGGCATCTTCATTGTGACTACAGTCATGTACGGCAACAGGGTTTCCCTCGCACTCGAACAGATCATTCTCCTGTCCAGAGCATCTCAGGCCGTCCAGAAGGATGGGCGCAGATCCGCCGCCGTATCTCTGAAGAGCAGCAACAGCCCGCGTGAACCTGAAGCGACACGAACGGATGCAATCAATCGGCAATGACGTTCTTTGGTCGGCATGAATCCTTTTATCATTCATCTTTACATTGTACATGCACAGTGAAACCTGTCAAGGCGACCACCTGTCCTAGAAGACCACTGAAACAAGGACCAATGGATGCTAATTCCAGTCAAATAGCCCTGGATAAAGAGACCACCTGCTAACAAAGACCACGGTCTGAAGGTCCTTGGAGCGGTCGTCTCAGACAGGTTTCACCCTATGTCGTGGCAAAGCGATAGGTGTGCCGGACCGATGTATCCTAGAGTTGATGGAGGTTTTTGTTTTGTACGAGCAAGAGTTGCATACTTCTCTAGACCCTCCGCCATACATTATAGAGGTTCTTATTTTTAATTATTAGTATTCTAATGTCTGTCATGGACAAGCAGGGAAAAGTATACGTAATGCAAATCGAAACCAATCCTGATAAATCCTGATAAAGTTTCAGCGTATTCCCTAAATTGCCTGGTCAGTTTGAGCACTCTGGCAAGGTGCGTACTACTTCCTCCGCGTCATCGAAATTGTCGCAGTTTGACTAGTGACTTGTCACTTGTTACCGACAACTCCATAAACTAAGCCATTCAAAACTTATTACACAGTATGATAGTCTGAAGACTAGAGTATCGTTCCAGGACAATTGGACTGAGAGTTTTCATGCAGAGATGAAGTCCTCGTCGTCGCTGATGTCAAGGGACGCAAAAATATCGTTCCGAAATATTTCAAGGAAGGTTGAAAGTTGGTCGCGCCTCATCTCAAACGCTTTGACTTTCTCCACAGGACGAGAGCTGCTATGCTTGTCGTCTGCTAGCTCTGGATGATTTGTACTTCACCACCAACGAAGCCTAGTCAGAATACACGATCGTTGCGAGGTCGGTTGATTACCGTCGGCGGAATCACCTCGGAATCACGTCGATCTTGAAATGAACTTTTTTTAGCCGTGGCATGCCCACAGCTCATGCAGGTAAGTGTAGTATCACGTCCAGCGTGCCCTCTTTTTCAGCATCACTGGTACCTTGGTACAACACCTGCGCGTGCATCACTAGCACTACGTGTAGAGTCTACACGGCTCTTGCAGGTACAATCATGTACTAGTAGTAGTACTGAGTGTCTCGGCCAGACGCCCAGAGCGACAAATTTTATCGCTGTTGCAGGCATTTAGTTTGCCGACCCCTCGATGTTTCTCCAAGCACTGCCACTTGTTCCACGAAGTCATTCTCACCCCAGCTAAGGTAAAACAGTGATGGGGCTTGAGTGAATGGCCATAAGCACGAGAAATGTGCAGGCTGCAACGCCTGACTGATCTCAGCGAGTCGAAATTACCAGCGCAGCGACATCAGCGAAGAAATTGCGTCTAGTTCAAAAATTCCAGCTTCCAATAACAGAAAATAGAACTTTGCCGTCACCCTATACTGATGACTATCGCCTATGTCCGATTCCTTGCCTCTGGTACGAGTGCTGGTGAGTAAATACCGCGTTTTACACCAAAAGTCAAACTGCGACAATTTCGATGACGCGGAGGAAGTAGTCTGGAAAATGTATTTTTCATTGCTATCAGGTTCGGCCTCATTTTCTCTGTGCTGCGCTGATGAGTCCACAAAGAACGAAAGAGTTCTGTCCGCAGATTGAGTATTCCATAAATTCTATAGCCGAACGGACAGGATATTATTTTTTTAACCGACAGGATATGATAAGCATTAATCCCATGGCGCGAGTAACTGATACGTGACTTTTCAACTGGTCTACTCCGAAGAAGCCTGAATCACTAAAGTAACATCATTCACACTAAGCAGCTTCTGCCGCAGGCTTCCATAACGTTAGTTCACGAACCACGCTTCTCGAGATTTGTGCATCTATGTAGCTCTGAAGCATAGCGTAGAATTGGTAGACCTATTTCACAGACCGAGTCTACTCTGTACATGTTCTAGTAGCATCGCAGTTCGCGAAGGCATTTCAATGCCGCAATGAAAGGAGAACACAAGACACAGGCTGAATTTGATTGCCATGTCCTGCGGAGCGGTAGAGCGCAGACGGTGTTCACATTATGTTCCATATGGTGAACAGATGCGGAATTCCGGTGTGCCTAGGAAAACTTGGAAGAGGCTTGTCGACACGTAATGCGTGCGTTCCGAACTGATAACGTGTTCACAAATCCAATCCCGTGCGTTACTAGTTCACACTGTGACGACATGTACTCGTGGTGGCAGTGCTGAGGGCTAGTCAAACCTACATGTTTATGTAGTAACGAATACGCGAACGTGAGTGGCACACGGTAATGTCGGGCAGTGAACTAACTTTTACAAATTCGCGTTTGCAAAGTTGCCTCGTTGTCTCTTTATTTTAATTTTACTTGGGAAACTCGAACTACTGATGGCGTTCTACAGGTTGCCGGGGCTTGCAGTGCTGACATGTGTAAGTGGAGTGATTGACCTACAAGTTGGAGCAGATACGGGCAGCATATTCCAGGAACCAGCACCCCCAAGATAGGCGCTTCAAACCGAGAAGACTAGTACAAGATGGGTTGGGCTTCAGCTCAGACTTGGAAGAGACTTAGTTGTTAGATTTAGAATTTAGCCAGGGAAAACATAGCGGTAAGACATGAGCATGAGCCTAATGAGGATGTTGTGAGCACCAAGCTGGTTGAAAATGGGAGTTGGTTAGGCGGGTTGCCAGCTTTTTCATCCTCTATAGATTGTCCTCAATATGAAGAATAGCGAAACTCTTATCCCGCCTTGTGATGATCATATAGAGCCGCACCATGACAAAAGGGTGCTTATGGCAAAAAATTCACAAACTGAGTTATGGACTTTATAACGTAATACGCACACAGCTGCACTATAGGCCTTGGGTACACCAGAAATGGTCTACGAGTGCATCTTCAGGGATCCCTTATGATGCCCTCTCTCTTTCGAAACTATGGGTAATTATACTGGAATACTTGTCTTCGCTTCCATAGAATTGGGCGCCATTGCCCGTTTGGCCTTGCGAAGTAAAATAAAAATCAACAACAACAACAACAACAACAGCCAGTGGATCAGTAAGGCTTGGGTCTCTGTGTGATGGGCAGGTGATGTATATGAACTTGGCTTTGTATATCAGCACGGACGTCAGAAATTTTGGAACGGACCTGCGAGCTAAGCTGCACCCAGCAAGTAGTGTACTGGTTCTAGTTGCCATGCAGTGAAACCTGCTAAGGCGACCACTCGGATAAGGCGATCACCTGGCGTGGAAAGCCACTGAACCAGGACCGAGGAATGCAATTCCCAGTCAAATGACCCTGCATATGGAGACCACGTTTTGAAGGTCCCTTGAGCAGCGGGCATCTTAGACAGATTTCACTGTATTCGTTATAAATGCATCTTTTCATGCCCTCCACTTTGCGCACTTCAGAAAACGTGATGATCACCACCGCACTCCGCCAATATACTCGAAATCAGCCCAAAAAACTGGCAGTAGGGTGAGGCGACGCGTATTTGGTTCGAGAAGAACAAAATCATCAACCGTGATGATGTCAAAATTACGTTTCGCTCGGCATTGAACAAAAATGCGAGGCAGTATGCGTTATGAAACTCAGATATTGAGCCAATAAAAGGCAATATGCATTAGAAAAAGCATATCACATCCAGATGGTTGTGGCCTGTTTCACTACTTAAACATCCCTACAGACAATTCAACAACACAGTTTATTAGCGACAGAACTCACCCTAGTTGGCGGCAGACGACGGCGGCATCAAAGAGGTCCCATTGGTCATCGCATACCGTTCCCCATACGCCATTGTGACGAACCTCCACTCTGCCTTTCAGCGGATTCCTCCCGGTTCCTACAATGCGCACATCTCTAGATCCTGGAAAGAGCCAACACAATCATGAGGAAGTTTTTTTCTATTATTTTACATGTACTAGTAATCGACATGGACTATAACAATTTGAAAAAAAGTATTCTTTCTAGACCAAAGAGTGGTATATTTGATAAAATTTAATAACGATAGAAATATTTACGATACTTCTCCAGACGTTTCGTTGTTCTGCACAACATCGTCAGTGGATAAAGAATGGAGGGCTTTGGGTGGTGGCACGGGTTAATAGGGAGTGATGGTGGGGACAATGAGAGTGAATAATCAACGGCTTGTCCACCAACTCTATAACAATTTGAATAAAGCTATGAATAGAGTTAAGTGCGCACTCATTACTCCTACACACAAGGCAAGGTAGGTCGAGAGGTTTCCAAGAACGCTTTCCTGTGACGGGTATCAGTCGGAATTACATCGAAATGGTGAATAGAAGATTTAATTCAATTTTAGATTCTGGGATAGTTGATCTCAGGCAAATCTCACCTAGACAAGCATAGAAGCGGCCGGCGAGGCAAAGAACAAGTACCATCCATCCAGCCTGCATCCTGAACGGATTGAGGAAGAAACAACTTCCAGCCTCACCTCTTCCTTATGGTTGATGGTGCACGACTGATCAGCTTGTCGATACAAACGTGAAAAAACTCTCCACTGTTTCACTGCAGCTGAGAGAATGAGAGCTTTATAGGGGCGATATTGCTTGCCGGCTGGCAATAGCCGTTTCTTTCATTACGTCTTCAAGGACATGCACAGTCATGTTCGTGCAGATATAGGGACTTCATCCGGACTGCTACACTGCACGAATGATTAAATCTCTAGCTTTTTTGCTATGCCAGCTTCTTACCCTAGGAACTAATAGTGGAGAGCGCGGCAAATTGTGCAGCATCATTCAATCCACTGCTGCGGAACTGTTATTTCACCTTGATGTGTCAGCATCGTGTTGGCAGTTAGCCCGCAGAGTGCTGATTGCCGCCCTGGACGTGTCATGCAGTCGTGCTTACATCTGGCCTGTAGCCAAATGGTCTGGTACATTGACCTGCGAATTGGCGGGGGCTGTACTGGGGGCGAGCGTCGCGCTGCATTCTTACAGCATTACCTTGTTGTTGTTGATATTGTGATGATAATTACAGTGCGGAATCCGGCCACAAGGCCTGCACAAACACATATCACAGCATTACTGCACCTTACAGATCCTTCAGCATCAAACCTTTCACCCTGTTGAGCATGGACTACACAGCAGATTTGTCCCGCATTCTGATTGACTGATGCCAAAACATTTATTAACGTCGATTGTTGCACTAGATATTTCTTCAAAACGCGCAATTCATAACGGACGTTTACGGCGCATGACTGATATACATGTACCTGCAACGGTTTTGTCGTATTTCAGTCGCCGTGGGTTAATGTGGATCAGAAATCCAATGGAGTAGCCCGCACTAATTGTTTGAGGGGCGATTTCGTGTCTGGAAAGGATAGGCTTGGGTTGGCTCAAGTTTCCGCAAAAGGCATTTCCTGTAACACATCACGTCACAGTCTGGGGAGCTTGTTACAGGGAAGGTGTCCAGGTGGTAGCAGGGATGAATGGAACTCTGCGTCTGATGAACTTTGATCGTAGTTGAGTCATTGCACCTTAGGCTACAGGACTGTATGACCGCAAGATATTACGAATACTGGCGCAACCATCGTGTCAGGTCCAAACAACGTATTGCAACGTCAGGCTTAAACGTAGTTATGTATACCAACGATTGTTGATGCTGACGCTGCGTTTCCCATGCGTAGCAGGGTTAGATATGCCAACATCATGTGCAGCTCACATCGCGCGCACAGAACGCGCACTCATAGTCGAACAGTGTGGCAGATATCATGACATCGACCACAAACACATCATTGGAATATACATGTATACACAGTCTGTGGGCAGAGCTGTCTCGTCCTTTGTGGACTCATCTGGAACATCTACATGTCCATGAACCTTTACAAACCTTCACGCCCCTGGGAGCCACACAAATTAACCGCAGCCTGAAATCTTGTTGTTGTTGTTGTTTGGCTTTATTTAAAGTGGAGTTCCAAAACAGGCCTAAACCAAATGACAATGGTCCCACTGATAATAAGAGAAAAGAAAATATAATAATAAGCGGACAAACAGAACCAAGAAGAAGATACAGCTGTAGTTAGATAACTAATATGAGCACGGCAGCAGGGGAAAAAAAGTCACAAGCACGGCAACCGGGAAGAAAGGAGTGAGTGAGTGAGTGAGTGAGTGAGAGAGAGAGAGAGAGAGAGAGAGAGAGAGAGAGAGAGAGAGAGAGAATCTTCTCACCTTCAAGGATAGTCTGAAGGGGAAAGACCGAAAAAGCTGATCTCAGCGTACTGTGTCGAATGTGCTCGGGTGCTTGTGCTTGGGTGGGTCAGCAATATCAGAGATAAAGGAAAGGGGGAAGCTTTGCGAAAACGAATTGTACAAAACCGGACGCCAATATCTAACGGTACTCCTCATGCATGCCACTATTGTGGACGAGTTGACTACAATAACAAGTAGTTCCACACGACGTACGTTTCGTTGCTGACCCACCCAAGTTGGGTGGTGTGTTGCTTTGCTGCTTCGAATTGTAGTCAGACCGCATTGTCATGTTGTTAACTAGACTCGTCATCGTCCTGTAACAGTCGGCATTCTTTGTTGCCGTGGGACTTAGCTTGTGCACATTTTCGCTGCGCTCACCTTCCCCTCTTCGGTCCTACGTAACCATGAACCTTCCAAGTTGGAAGGATGTTGTTTGCGCACTGGAGATGTGTTAGAGCTAGGTCTCGGGTCGCTGAATGTCTCAGTAGCTTGTCAGTTTTGTGCCATATTATCTCACTTTCTAACCGTTTATCATCTTGTTACATTCGTGGATACTTGCTGCATAACTCGTTCTCATGTGTTTCTTCTCTTTCTTACATGTACGAATATTCTTTGGCTTTTTTCGTTTAAAAAAAGTTCGTTACGGCGCTACGAATATTCGTTGTGCGCAACCTCTCTACTAACTGGTCTCGTCATCGTCCTGTGACAGTCGACATTCTTTGTTGCCATGGGACTTCGCTGGTCCAAAATGTAACATGAGTTTGGGGAATGGACAGGTTATGGTACTCTCAGGCAGGTTTCAGTTATAGTATGAGCTCGAAGTTTGCTTCGTGGTTGATTAAAAAAAAAGAGAGTAACATATCGTGACCGTTCCCGAAGGGAACTCACGACGCCGCTAACACCCGTACACCGTGATTGAGTGTGTAACGGACAATTGTGTTCATGACTTAAGACTCTATTATAGACCTGGCAAACCAGCTAGGGTGGTCTCAGATGAATTTTAGTCTACCAGCTATCCACATCGATGTGCCAGTATCCGTACAGAGAAACTAGCCATAGCGTGCGCACGCACCCTTCACTGGGTGTCATGTAATGAGGTTGAACAGTTTTTTTGTTCCGCAAGATACTAGAACATGTGTTGTACGGGCAACGGAACAAAATAATGAGACTCGTAGAAAAAGAAAGAGGCCCAACCCTGCTTGGCAAGTAAAGGTGTCATGGGTGGCTGTTGCATGGTTTGGCCGCTCGTTCAGGGTACTGTGCTGTTCACCCAGTGAGCATGTAAAAATCAAACCAGAATGTGAGCAAAAAGCGACAAACGTCCATTGGCAGAAGTGACTTGAGGGAGACTAATGTGTAAATGGCTGCACTGGAGTCTTCGACCACTTAGAAAAGTCGTGATCAGAGTAAAGGCCTGTGTCTTAGTTCTTTTTTTCCTGTTTTTGGTTCGCCACATGTTTACCAGTAGGGCTGTGTTAAATAATAATAATAATAATAATAATATGAACAGGTCGCATATTGCCCCCATAAACAAATCAAACGGGGTCATGCATCTGTCAATGATCGTGAACCAGAATTGCTTGTTATTGGCGAGGTTGTGGCATTCCTGAATCGGTATATTCAGAGGCTTGAGGTCTTCTTTGATGTTTGGATGTTGGCCAGTAGAAAAAATCCCTCGCCATCAGACCAACGGAGTGAACACGCAGCGTGACGTTAGGAGGCGTTCCGTACTCGCGATTAGTACTCCTCGGGTACTAACTTTTTTTAATGTCCATCACATATGAGGCACTATTCCAGAGAGGGCACTATTCAAAAGAGGGCAATATTGTTTCAATGCTAGTGCATTTACGACATCCAGCATAAAAACAAAGAAGGCAAATAAAACAGAGCATAAATTGTACTGTTAGCTATCAGGACTCGGCAGAAGAGCAAAAAAACTTCGAGTTTGATCTTGAAACCACAAGTGCAATGGCATGGACAAGAACTTAACAAAAGAGCACCAAACCTTCACATGCATTTGGTTCCAAACCCCGGGGGGGGGGGGGGGGGTGCACTATTCAAGAGAGAGCTTACTTTTTTCACTGGCTTTTAGAGACTTGGGCACTCTTCTATATAGGGCTGACACTATTCAAGAGCGGATTGTATTAAGTTCATTTTATTCCTGTTGAGGCTGGCTAGTGCCTATTTCGCCCGCACAACAGGCTTGGGTTTGCAGTACAGCATCTGCGAGTATGTTGGATAGTACAGGTATCGTGCTTGCGTTGCTTTACAGTTTGAGCACACGGATGATCGGGTATGTTATTAAGTCCTTGCTTTAATCTGTGTTTGAAATTTATTTTTGAATTCATTGCCGCACAGCGCCACTGGGATAAAATAGGTTTAGCCAGTGTGAGTGCTTTTTGGAGTATGCAGAGGAGCTGGCCAGCGGAAGATAAAATCCAACATGTGTGCAGGCACGAACCACAACCGATCATAACTAGTGATGCATCGCGCACAGCATGTGTCGAATCAGTCCTTTCCGTTTTTACTTCGAAGTAAAGTGCTAGTAGTGGAAAAAAAATACTTTTAGTGCATCTAAAAAGATCTAGGTTGCAAAGTCAGGTGCATGTTTCCAATGAACGGACTGTAGTGGTTGTACGGAGTGGCCTTCTTGTCCCGAGAATTCCCCTTGCCACGCATGCCGCCAGCTTGCGGAACCTAGTGACTTGCATCAAACGTTGATATAGCCAGGAAGGGTAATTCGGGGGATCAGTTGCCGGTGTGCGCCTACTGTCATTGTCGCACAGCAGCACAAGTGCAGTGGAAAGAGCCAGCTCCCTTTACATTACTGACGCGGATCGTCTACCATTCCTGCAACCTGGTAGCTGATGTCTGCAATAACAGGTGGGGTTAGTGCACGATAATTCGCAGACCTAAATTTGAAGGCAACTTAGCCCTACCTGGAATTTGGAGCCAGGCTACAATGTACCAATAGTTCAATCAGGTAACGCAATCAGCACAGACCAATCTTCAAAGTTGTTGCTCAGTCAGGTGTTCCTAGTGTTCCACCAGGCAACAGTACTGGCACAAGAGACCCGATAATGTCCCTTGATGTCAAGTATAATTGAAAGGCGGTGCGTTTGTTTCCTCCTTGTTTCCATTTCTTGCCTCACTTCGTGCTTGCGAGCACCGTGTAATCCCCTATGGAAACTCGCATCTTATTCGTGTGCCCTGTGCTGCTCGCCATAATCTGTTCGAGTCTATTCTGCACACCAGCAGCAGGTGGGTTGTGTTATCCGTTTCTATACTATTATATCATTCTCCGCTAGAGTCATGCTAGCATATCTGCCCTGGGTCAGTATCCAACACACAGTGTACGTTGGTCAACAAGAGCATGCTCTATTGTCTCGTTTTTCTACCTAGCACTTGATGTTGAAGGCAATTTTAGTATCGTAGATGGGCCAAGTGAAGTCCGAGGACGTGTTGTTGAGGTGCTTGCGAATGGCACTTGGTCATCCCTATGTGCTGTTGACTGGAACCTTACTGATGCTGATTACATCTGCCAATCTCTTGGGTAAGCATCTCGTTGCAGTAATGTCTATCGCCAATGATAGCTAATGCTCACTATGCACCTCTTGCTGGTCTATACTACACTACTGAGAGGTGAAAATGCACTCCCTTTTCTCTTCAACTGACTGTTCTTGGCCACGTGTTCAACCATCTCGTACGAACGATCGCAATACCCAAGTAATACATGTATACAGCGATCGGTATTACGCAAACATTCCAAACTTAATTAGATGTATGTTATTCCGGTACCTCTCATGTGCTTTGCCAAAGCAGGCAGCCGGGACGGTGGAACGTGGGTGTCAGATATCCTTCTTCTTAGGGGACACTATTTTTGTTTGTACGAAGCTCTGGGTTGAATCATGGTTTCTGAATAGATGCTGTTGTGGCGAAACATATTGCATTTTCATTTACGCTAGCCTACACCCAAAGGATTCAATACTTAGCCCGCCACAAAAACATTGTCTCTGTTTCTTTCAGGTTTCAGGCAGCAGTTGAGGCTTTCACACACTATGGAGGCAGCAACGGAATGTCCTGTGCTTGTACCGTTAACAGCACTCGTTCAGATTACGGATGTGATTATCCGCCTGTTGCAACATCCTGCCAGCACAGGCAGTACGCTGGAGTAGAGTGCGGTAAGGATAATTAGTGAAAATGTACTTCGTTTCTTTTCTAATTGTCTGCAAACCCCAACGCAGCCACTGGCACATTTAGCTTCACTTCTAAACTCCAAAAACGGTGTCTTCACTGCGATTAAAATTAAAATTAAGAATTACATTTCACCAAATTTTTGGGACAGGCCCATCATCAGGGCAATTTGAATCGCAGTGAAGAGACCGTTTTTGGAGTTGAGAAGTGAAGTTTGCTAAGTATGCTTCGTTTCACTAGTATTGAACAACTGTAAGGGCCTCATCAACAAATCCAATGTTGGTACAATCATGGAATTAGTATTTGGGTTACGGCATTTGTTCGACTCAGTCAAGGTAAGGGGACATGTCTGAAAACACCAGGATAAAAGTGGGCAAGGCGACCTCTCCGAATTCGCGGGAATTATTCATAATTATAGGATCGTGTCCGATATACAGCAACCATGCAGAGAGATGCACAACGTATTGATATCCTGCAACTGGGGAGCATTATAACACCATAAAAAGTAGATGACATCACGAATACGCCACACGTCAAGGGCCATAACGGCAATGAGCAAAGGTATCCATTATGCATACAACCACTTCACAAGTCACAACTCCCATAAATATTATGTTATGTCACGTACATGTGTAGGAAAACATTTTCGCTTATTAATGAAGTAAAACAAAGAGTACCATTAGGGTCTGGCGGATTCTGCCGGCAGAAAAATTGGAAGAATTCGGTACTTTTTCTGGTACGTTTGATGCATGTTTGGTATGTGGATAAAGAAATAGAGCAGAATTCGAGGAATTGCCCGCCATAAGGTTTGTATGGTTCTGCCAATTTCACTGCTTTTCGAGCAGAATCTGCCACCTTTTCGAGCAGAATCCTCCGGTCCCTAACTACCATACCATAATTATTGTTCATGAAGTTGGTTGTTCCAACGAGGAACACACACTTTTTGCCGAACTTGATACTTGGCTGACTCACGACTGCCATCCGGAGCACACCAGGAGCACGTCGCACCTTACACTCGGCAAACCCGCAAGAACGCACCACTCCCTGCTCAGCGGGAAGCTCAACCTCAATTTCCAACACGGGGCACCACACACACACACATGCGCACACATAAATACACATACACACACACACACACACCCCTCGGACTCCAATATCCAAAACACTGCAGTGTGCGCATTGTGACGCAATCGGACAAGACATTTTCACCGGCCGTCCATGTCACTCCAAAATGCAAGCATTCCAGGCTGAACTCCTGGAGTCTCAATTGCAACGAGGCTATGGAGCAGTATAAAACAAAATATTGACCAATTTTCGATTTGTACTATCGACGCTGCACCGTGACACCCGTCACTTGCCATAGGAGAAGGGCGGCCCCATGAATTGATCGAATTGAACGAGTCGGAAATAAAGTCCAGACTCAAAGTAGTAATAGATGAAATCACATGGAAACGAGTTATGAAGCAACTATACACGACTCTGACAAGATAATAAGCAGCAAGAAAGTGCGATAACAGGGCACAAAACTGACATGTTCCTGAGACAATCAAACAAATGACACCTACTTGTACAAGTAGTTCTCACACACAACTCCAGTGCGGAAACCGATAGCCTTCCAGCTTGGACTGTTCAAGGTTATGGTAGGACCAATGAGGGGAAGGTGAGCGCAGCGAAAATGTGCACAAGCTAAGTCCCACGGCAACAAAGATTCCCGATTGTTACAGGACCATGACATGTCAGTTTTGTGCCCGTTCGCACTTTCTGGCTGCTTATTATCTTGTTACAGTCGTGGATAGTTGCTTCATAACTCGTTACCATGTGATTTCTTCTATTTTATATTATCGGCTCAGTATGCGGATTAAACTCAAAGTGTTCGCGATCGGATTGATCAGCGAAATGAATTCTTCGTGCCGGAATGAAATGAGTAGTGCAGCGTGGTGTTATTGTTCATCAGGCTCTTGTACCGGTTCCTTGTTTCAGGCGAGTTCTCTATGCAATGAACGGAGTACACTATGTACTGTCATAGTGGATGACGCAGGTCGACACAGGGTGAAATGAGGCGCCTTTGAGTGAAATCGGAAATTTGTCCTTGACCAGTGCTGATTGATCGTTGCAGATATTGACTGCTAACAGCAAGCTACGGGAGGTGTATTACACATACATGTGTACAGCTTTTTCAGTTGTACATGTAGAACGGCAGTGCCTTCTGCCAGTGTCGTGCAAAGTTTTCGGATGAGTTGAATGTCAAGTACTAGTAACTGGTGATTTTAGTGGACATTATAACGTAACTTCTATTTCCTTTGTCTTTTCTATTAATCCTTTGCTCTCCATCCGGGGTCTATAATTATGTAGTATCCACATAACTCTTGGAGCAGCTGTGTTTCCCGGTATTCATCACGCCCAATTGCGCGCTCTGCAATTCACCTCCCACTCTGTACACAGTTTCAAATGTCATTACTGTTGCTCATGTTGCGTAACTGTTGCTCGCTCCTTAGATCCATTCTTACTTCCGCATTGTTTTATTCCTGTTGTCGTACTGATTGCCTTGCCCTCAACCGCAGCCAAGCTGCGCTCTCTGGTGGGGACCGGCTGATTCTGCTCGAAAAGGTGGCAGATTCTGCTCGAAAAGCAGTAAAATTGGCAGAACCATACAAACCTTATGGCGGGCAATTCCTCGAATTCTGCTCCATTTCTTTATCCACATACCAAACATGCATGAAACTTACCAGAAAAAGTACCGAATTCTGCCAATTTTTCTGCAGGCAGAATACGCTAGACCCTACTCTCTGGCCCAAATAACGCCATTCTTCTCTTACACTGGAATTGTGGAATGTGAAATTGGCCAGTAAAGATGTGAAGCCGAAGAGCTGGTATTCCTCCCGTTAGTGCTGTCAGTTTGTAGCACTTTCTGATATAAGTCCAGAGTGCTTTAGAGTTTGGACACGTGCTAGTTGGCAAACACCTCATAAACGGAATGGGAAAACTATATTTTCCGTATCCCACGACTTAAATTTGAGGCCGAGAGCCCCTCTACCATTGCGCCCTTACACCCTGCCCTACATAATGCGATAGGAGCATTCCCCTCTTGCTGTGGGTTTGCATTGAATGTCTCGCTCTTGAAATATAATACCGGTATTTCCTCCTCTGCATTTCTGATATTCATTGTGGTGATCATTTCCTGATGATCAGGTAACATGTTTTGCGTCTACGGACGACTGCGTTTCTCATCTTTGTTAACGGTAATGCTGTTCTTGCTGTTCCATTTACAGTGGATCCCGTGTCCTGTGGAACTGCACCTGAATTTTCGTTTGGGTGCATCCAAGTCACCACGACCACGCCAGGGTCATATGCGTACATCACCTGTCAGCCAGGGTATAGATTCGTTGGATCTCTACCATACAGTATTTGTCAACGCAATGGCTCTTGGACACAACCCGCCGGGGCATGCACCAGTAAGTGCACAAGCGCAAAGAAAAGTCAGATATTTACGAGAACTGGGAATGTTTTTAATTCCAATCGGCGCTCAAAGGGTTAAGACAAAAATGTGAGCTAAGTTATGCAAAAAAGATGGCGTAGACATGAATGGTCGAAATGTGTCCTATGCCAAAATGATTTCCAGCTATCCATCCTCCATCGTGAAAAATTTGTGCGAATCTGAAACGGTTTTGTGCCATAAATACCCAACTCTGTAGATAGCAAGCTGTTTCGAACATCCACCTGTAAACAAGTCTAAATTATGCACAGGCACAAGTATGGCATGCTACAACCACCGAGCAGTCCTGACTCGAATCGTAGGGAAATATTCGGGTCGGTTCTATTCGATTAAGCAATCACTTGCATAATCGGAACGATAGCAAGACACCACATATTTTATTGTGTACCTGTATACCATATTTTCTCTAATAAGAGCCCGGGGTTCTTATTTTTTCAGTGACAGCTCTACCCGCGCTACTATTAGAGACTGGGCTATTGGAGTGTAGCCTCTTATTTTTTTCAATTGTCAACTATCAAGCCAACTCCAGTCTATACAGGCGTAAACTGCCATATCAAGACTGATTTTGCAACCCTAAACTCAAGAATATGGTCAAAACAGACGTTTCACAATAGCATTGGCACCAGGAAGGAAGCAGTAGACCGAAAACCTCCTTACAAATATGTTCTTGGCATGTTGTACTGCAGTCATATATGCAGTCAATATACTTGTTGCATACTCCAATTGTGACCCGCGCTACTATTAGAGACTGTGCTCTTATTATTTCAAACCACCCTCACCCCGGGTCATTATTGGAGACGGGGCTATTATTGGAGACCTGGGCTTTTATTAGAGAAAATACGGTAATTATGTCCAACCATATTGACTGGTTGATATGCTGTGGTGCTTGATTTCCGTATCACAGAATTACTTGTATGTAGTGAAGACCTTACAATCTCCAACGGGAATTCATTTATTGGCAATCGTACAATTGGTTCAGTTGCCGTCATTGTCTGTGACGAAGGATTTCGGTTCAACGGCAGTAACGCGACTGTATCCTGCTCAGGGAGAACCGCCACTGTTGCGCAATGGACATCAATAAACGGGCGTTGTATTCGTACGTATTCATTATCAGTATTATTCTAGGACTTTAAAGGAACGAAAAGGACCAAAGAGCAAATCACGCTACACTGTCAACTAACACTAACAGTTTCCGGACAATCAGCTCATGCGATAACATTGCACGGCACTGACCAACGGTACTGACGTTCTACACCTAACTGACAATCAGCTCTGGCACGTCTTGGATGCCCACTCCAACTGCCTTTCCCTTCCTTAGCATAGCCCATATTATGTCCAATGGGCTAGATATTGCCAGTATTCTATTACTTTCGTACAGCTGAGAGCCTCTTCGGTGAATGGATATGTTTACAAGTTGGTGTTGTGTTTTATTATAATTCTTTTCTGGGTTGCAACCTTCAGTGTCTGGTGGGTTTGATACAAAACCTTCACGGCTCACACATCAAATTGAGACAAATTTACCGTTTCCCCTCCAAATATGGCAGGATGTCATGTTTCCATCTTTCACCTACTGCCAACCTTTTGAATAACAACAAATTCCTGATAACCACACAATATTCAGACCTGAATGATATTGTCTTGACTGCAAGCTTTCAATCTCACAAATTACGACAAAACCTCCAATTGTCTCATGCGCTATCGCAAGTTCAAATCAGTAATGCAACATGTCTAAGGTCAGTGCTCTTCATTGTTCTTGCCCCATTTACAGGGTATCACTCATTCTGTGAAAGGCCACCTCTAATTCCGTTCGGGTACTTAAACTTCAACACTACAAATTATTACGGTCTGTATGCAAGAATTGCCTGCTTCCCTGGTTACGAGTTTGTAGGGTTTCAATATGTCATTTGTCAACGGAATGGCTCTTGGACGCAAACTCACGGGAAATGCGAAAGTAAGTGTTAACAAGTAAACAAGTATTGACAATGTTAGGGATTTATTCAATTTTTTAACGTTAGGGATTGAAAGTAATACATGATATTATGACCGCAATTATTAGGAAAAGCTTAATCGACATGAACACGTTATTTGTGCAATATAAATGCGTGGCAGGCCACGCAAAACCCAAACAGCAGCACAAACACTACAGTCCGACATACATGTACAAACCCACGTACCTTTTGTAACCACGGCACACAAGAAGAAACATGATCACAACCACTACAAACCAACAATTGACAGACCGAGATGCGCAACCACAAACTGCACCCGACGGACGTGGATAAATGGTGGGACAAGAAACGAAGGAGGCAAATGGTGAAACTGGATCGGGTCGCACGGCCTAGAAAATGGGTGGATGGTGATGCAATGGAGGAATCTGACGATGGACCGGTTGGTGACGGGAGCAGCGAGTCGGACAGCGGAGAGGAGAGTGAGCAGGAGAGCTGTCCCGGAAGTCAGCCAACTGTGCGTAAGTTTCGTTCTAGAAAGTCAACCGTGTTTTACCATCTCGTATCCAGTCCTCATTGTTACGATTCGTTTTCTGATTCTTGTTTCACTGGTCTGTGCCATGTTCGTCATGGTTATGATTTAAGGTGTTAGAAGTCATTATTTAACGCATTCACAAGCCCAATTTGTTCATCAAGAAAGATAGTATAATTGCATTGAAATTGTTTAGTTAGTGTTATGTTGTTTCATTTTAGCCAGGTTAGGCCAGTACTGGTTTCCGTGTAATGAGTTGCTGTCATTATAATTACATTTGTCATGGCTTTATTGCATGGTTTTTGTTTCTCTCCAGTTGTTATAACCCACACGTAGGTCGTTCTCGCTCTCATTGTTTTACGTCACACAATTCATGCATTATTTTCATTGGTGTTGTTATGTGTTCCTTTCATGTATCTTATTTGGGTTTCCTTTAAGATTTCATTTGTGTTGTTGTGGAAGTTCATTTAGCGCCCCACCACAAACAGGCAGTTTCGTCTTCTTTGATACTTGTGGACGACAGAGGGAATGAGAGATTGAGAGACTAAATCACCCCCTTCTTTTAGGCTATGGTGCGCAAGCTCACGTTACCGCCGAGGTCGGTGTTGTGGGCTTGCCTCACCAGCACAGGCTTGCTTTGCAGCCCCTACTATCCCTGCTGTTTTGTCATTGTATACTCTGTTGTCTTCTCCCCTCCTGACGAGTAGGTTGTGTACTTAGTAAAAAAAAAAAGAGAGGGGGGGGAGAGAAATACGGAGAAAGGAGGGGTGTAAAATAATTAAGCGAGTGAACCTCAGAATAACATCATACACATTTTGCGAAACACGTTTCCTATTCTTCAGTTCGCTATACCACAGAAACACTCTAGCCAAAAAGCATTTAAACGGAGCCATGATACGCTTCTTGCAGGGCACAGAACTGAAGGTAGCCAGGGCTCGGAACGGAGATCAGGCGGAAGCTGCCTCCACAGGACTGCGCCGATGAACTGCATGGTTGCTTGACCTGCAGGTCCCGGCCAAAATGGTAGTTGTAGAAGGTGATGTGCTGCTCCCCGAGTGCGTTCACAAGTACCCCTCAGGATGAAGCTAGTGAAGAGGGAGCTAGCTCAGGAGAACAGACAACGACGGCCAAAGACGAGGAGCTTGATGTTAAACATGTGGTGAGGCGGAGCTGAGGAAGGATCGGGCTCGTACGCGATCACAGTGGCAGACCAAAAAAGCTGAGGATAGCGTACTTCGTTATCCGTGTGAGGGACTCCATGTTGCCAATTGGTAGTGACGGATAAAACGCGTTGGACACATACGGTAAACTATTCTGGATTATCGACCTGTAAAACAGGATCTTTGACGCCAGGGTGAGGCTTCGTCCGATCCGCCCCAGCAAACCTACTGACTTGCGCCCAAGGCTTCGATCGCAATGCCGTCTGCACATTTGTGGTTTGTGACCTGCTGCGGCAGGCAGCAGGGAAATTCACGAGTGTACAACGTGAACAGAAGGTGCCCAGGACGGATCCTTGCGGCTCTCTTGGACTGCATGCGACGTACTTGTATTCCAAGCAATTTCCGCCTACAGGTATGCATTGCTGGACAGCACCACCGACCCCAAAGTCGGATAGCTCCTGCGCCATTATGGTGTGTTTGACAAAGTCGAAAGGCTTCGATATATCCACGAATATCACACCTATGAGTTTGCGCTCATACTTCCCTCTCAGCCATCGATGGACAGTTAGCACAAGAGCGTCCTCGGTATTGAGGTTGTAAGTGCAAGTGAGGGAGAATGCTGTGGTCTCTCAGAAAGGATATGATCTGGCGTGCATCCGCGTTGTGAAATGATCGTCCGGATCATCACAGCAATCCGTGGCACTGAAGCAAGAAGGACCAGAGCTAGGGCAACATCTCGAGGATTTCCCGTAGCTGCATTAGCCCTGCATGGGGAATGACTGTATGATGCTGTGGTACTGTGATTTTGCTGGTCGGTAGCTCAGCGAATAAACGACAGCAGAGCTTCACTTGCGCAAAAAATCGAAAGTTGACCGTACTCTGCACAAATCCAAACTTGATCAATTTTCCCCATCTCAATAACATGATGCTCAATCCGGACATCCGGTAGGGCAGCGCCCATGGCATAAGCCAGACGATCACGCTGCACGTTATGCAGCACGGTGGGATAACCCACTGTAGGACAAGTTGCTCGGTGATTCAAAGACAGTACTGGTCTACACACACATGTGATCGGCAAGTCCCAGAGGGGCCAACCATAACGGAATGGCAACGCATCAGCAAAATACGATTTGTTCAGCACAAAATAACCGGTAGAGGGTCAGCCGTCATCGAGCTGGATACCCCTCCAGAACCAGCCATGTCAACTAAAAGTTGCTGGGGTGGATTGATGTGTTCCTCTAGCTCCTCATTCCTAAGCCGCAGCACGGAGTTAAATCGAGAACGCTATGATTGTGCTTCAGGGACTTGACCTTGGTAAACGTCTGCGAGAGATCGAGAGATCACTGACAAACGAGCCGGCAGGTGAATCAAAGGAGAATTCTTGAGTTGGAGAGCCACTAGAAATATTATGACCATCCGTACTCACCACGGTTCGAGCGAAAAGCGCCGATGCAGCCTGCACACCACTCGCCTGTCCATTCGCCGAAATCATAGCAACAACTGGTACCGGAGCGATAAGCGATGCCTCCCACTACCAGACACTCTCATAAGCGGCCTTTGGGATGGCAGTGCCCCCAAATTGCCATTGTATTGTAATTCTTTTCTTCTTTTCTACTTTCAGTGTCTGGTTGCTCCCATACAAAACCTTCACTGCTTACACAATACATTGGGATTAGTGTCCGGTTCCGTTCACAGATAACAGAAGACTTACTATGTTTCCATTTTCACCTAATGCTAACCTTGTGAATAACAGCAAATCCCTGATACCGACACAACGTTCAGACAATTTGACATTATATTTTGACTGAAAGCTTTCAATAAGAAAGGGTTTGCTCCCCACACTGGAGCTCGCGCTATTCCGCCGACTGTACTTGACAAATTGTGTCGCCGAAGTCGCAACCAGTACTTCGTACTGAAAGCTTTCAATCTTACAAATAACGACAACACCCGTATTGTCTGATGCCCTATCGAAATTTTATTTAGCAAGGTAACATGTCTACCACCAATGCTCTTCATTGTTCTTGTCCCATTTACAGGGCATCACTCATTCTGTGAATTACCAGTAGTTTCGTTTGGGTCCTTAAACATCACCCGTTCCACGCGGCTGTGTGCAAACGTAACATGCTTACCCGGTTACGACTTTGTAGGAGCTAAAAGAACAAGATGTTGCCAACTGGATCGCTCTTGGACACAAGCTGACGGGAAATGCGAAAGTAAGTGTTTAAGGTAAACAAGTACTTCCAAAAAAAGTATTGACAAGGTTGGGATTGAAAAATAATACAAAATATATCAAAAAATACAGCTACAAGGAGGACTAATCGCACTGCAAGCATTTCCTGTGATTATGTCGACATTTATGTGTAAAATGTTATACGATGATCGCAAGGCACGCAAGGTAAGGGCGAAAGGATTTGTTCAGAACTCGACTGCTGTCTTGTTACATTCATCAGTGAATCTACGTAACAATGGAATGGGAACTACTTGAAACTAATCTGATATAATCTGATATGGTCAAATATAAGTGAAATAAGGAGAAAAGAGTGAAAAAAGGTGATGATACTATTCAGCGGGGGACAGTTTCAGCACTTGACAACATGCATGTGTGAATCATCGGCATCAGCAAAATAGATCAAAACAAAGCAAACCTGGACACACGGAAGGAAGCTTGAACGGTGGGAGGCGGGGGGGGGGGGGAGGGACAATCATACTCACCACGCTAGCACCAAACTACTACGTAAAAACACGAGGGTGATGACACTAGCCTTCTGTGCACACAACATTTGCTTGTACAAGTGAATGAAGATTGCCTCTAACACCTTTCAAAAACTTTGCAGCAGCGGACGAGGATAATTCAGCCCAAGACGTATCGGCTAATCGAATACTGAGCTGAATGAAAAAAGAAGCTTGAAAGAGAGTGGGAGGCTTGAGCAGTGGGGGTAGAGAATTTCACCCTCATTCCTAAGGATGTACTTGATTATCACAATGTCATGCATGAGGAGTACTGTAGGAGTTTGGCTTTCGGCATGTACAATTCGTTTTCGCAAAGCTTCCCATTTCTTTACTTATCTTTGATATTAAAATTTATGACCCACCCAAGTTGGGTGATGTGCTGCTTTGCTGCTTCGAATTGTAGTTAGACCGCTTTGTCAATCGTACTGGTCTCGTCATCGTCCTGTAACAATCGACATTCTTTGTTTCGTTGGGCCTGTAGCTTTTGCTCGTTTTCGTTGCGCTTGCCTTCCCCCCTTTGGTCTTTCCATAACCTTGAACCTTCCAAGTTGGAAGGCTGTCGGTTAGCGCTACGGAGATGTGTTGAAGCTAGGTGTCAGGACGTCGAATGTCTCAGTACTCTGTCAGTTTTGTGCCTAGTTATTGCACTTTCTGACTGTATAAAGTATCATGTTACAGTGATGGAGAGTTACTCTTAACTCGTATCCATAATGTCTTTTTCCTTTCTACATGTATTATTAGTTAGTTTCGTTTGTTATGATTTCTTGGTTTATTATTATTATATTATTAACTTTTATTTTACTAGGTTTTTCACCCAGTTTAGGTATAATTTAAATTATTATTTGGTGCAGCTTTAGCGCTAGGTGGTTTTGTGATTTACTTTTTCTTAATCTCGTATTTAGCGCTTTTGGGCGTCATTATTTTCTTCTCATTATTTCGGACCAAGTTATTATTCAAATAATCGACGTGGAGACAACACTTTTATAATAGCAATAAAGAGAACAAATTCTGCAGTCATCGCCACACTACAACCTAGTGATGAAAGTTTACCAGAATGAATTTTCTTGTCACATTCATCAGTGGAAAGTCGTAACTGAAGAGTAACCATGCTGAACAATGATTAAGTATACATTCAATGATGTGTTACGAGAACAAATGTTTGTCTCACTACACAGTTTTAGCGTTATTATTAGTTTCTCACCCGCCGTTGCACTTAGCTCTCACTTCACTTCTATTGTCTCACCTTCCCTCATTCTATTTTGGCACTGTATTTTGTTCTCGTAACACATCATTGAATGTATATTTAATCATTGTTCAGCATGATTACTCTTCAGTCACGACTTTCCACTGATGAATGTGACAAGAAAATTAATTCTGGTAAACTTTCATGACTTCGTTGTAGTGTGGCGATGACTGCAGAATTTGTTCTCTTTATTGTTATTTCAAGTTATTATTTTGTGGTGTCCTCTAGCTTCTGTTTGTTGTGCAGTTGTTCTTGTGCAAACTCATCAGGTGTATTGGCTCAGTATCCGAATTAAAGTTGAACACCAGATGAGCCGTCAGGAACAATACCGCGACACGAACTTTGTTATCGTAGTCAACTCGCCCACAATACCTGTACTATCATGCTTGAGGAGTACCGTTAGATATTGGCGGCCAGTTTTGTACAATTCTTTTTCGCAAAGCTTCCCCCTCTCTTTATCTCTGATATTGCTGACCCACCCAAGTTGGGTGATGTGTTGCCTTCCTGCTTCGAATTGTAGTTAGACCGCATTGTCGTGTTGTTAACTGGTCCCGTCTAGGTCCTGTAACATCCGGCATTCTTTATTGCCGTGGGACTGCACACTTTCAATGCGCTCGCCTTCCCCGCATTGGTCCTGCCATAACGTTGAACCTTCCGAGCTGGAAGGCGCTGTTTGCGCACAGGAGGTGTGTGACACCTAGGTTTCAGGTCGTTTAAAGCATCAGTAACATATCAGTTTTGTGCCCTGTTATCGCACTTTCTGACCGTTTATTATCTTGTTACAGTCGTGGATAGTTGCTTCATAACTCGTTTCTATGTGATTTGTTCTATTTTCATATCATTGTCAATTTTAGTTGGGTAGACCAATGCTATCTTGGTTGTTCCATAGGAAGCATTTCAACACCCTGCACGATCGTGTGCAGTATGGACTTCAGTATTCCTTTCTTGTCAGTGAGGTTTAAGCTCGACCCAGGAAACAAATTAGCAACCAAACAGCTAATGTACTGCTGTGACGTAGCATTAATATCTCTGTCTCTGCCACTCTCTTTCTCTCTGTCTCTCTCTCTCTGTCACTCACCTTATCTCTGCCCTCTCTCTTTCACATACACACACATTTAATTTAATTTTTTATCATTAATTTATTATTTAGTTTGTCTTGTTTGTTATGATTTATTGGTTTTCCACCCGGTTTAGTTATAATTTAAATTATTTTTTGGTGCAGCTTTAGCGCTATGTGGTTTATTATTTTCCTTTTCTTAATTTCGTACTTAGCGCTTTTGGGCGTCATTATTTTCTTCTCATTATTTCGCACCAAGTTATTATTTTGTGGTATTCTCTAGCTTCTGTTTGTTTGCAATTGTTCTTGTGCAGCCCCCCCCCCCCCAAACACACATTTTTCGATGCCTAGTTGCAACGCTGACACCGAGACCTCTGGTCGGTTGAGTTGCTCCCAGCACATCAGCACGTCGTCTCTACATCCCCTATGTTTTGTCCGTTTCCTCGTTTCTTTTTGTTCTCCACCTGTATTCCAGTAGGGCTGTGTCAATAGTAAAAAACAAACAAACAAAAAAACACACTCTATCTCTCTGTGTGTCAATTTCTTTCCCATCCAAGAAGCTCGCCCTCCAACTGTCGATATTCACCCATGTGTGTTTTCTATGTGTCTGTGCCTGTGTCTGTGTTGGTTTTCACTCCTAAATTGACGTCTACAGCAGCATGCCCGGCGGATTGCGATTTTGAGAACGGACTGTGCAAGTTTGAAGATGACCACGCTGCAGATGACCACACCGGCCGCCAGCCATTCATTCTCCAAAATCAAAATACTTCAAGACTATTCACTAACACAAAGTTTACTGATCACACGTTTAAGAACGGAACAGGTACAGAATAACACCTTTCACAAATTGGGCTCTATTCTCCTACTTACACTACTTTCGGTGCCGTAGAACCGGGGCCGAGGAACTGGGGCGAGAGGGGGTGGAGGGTGGCTCAGCCTTGTTGCCTAGACCGTTCTTATTTTCATGTGCTATCGGCCACGGTGTATACATTGTTATGCTGTATATGGTGATATTCTAGCATGGACAATCTTGGGCGCTCTGTTCCTCACCGCCCGACAGTCCTTTGTTGATTAGGTTGATGTCGTTTTACCTTACGTGTACGTCCACACTCACGGGGAGGGCTGGCGGGACGGAATGGTTGTCGTGATAGCAGGGTCACGTGAACCCGAAACGAGGTCGTGTGATACACCCGCCATGCGCCAGCTTCCCGCGAGGGCCATGGCGTGAGCAAATCCTAAGCTCAAAGTTTTAGCTTGGAAGCTTCACTCCAAAGCGGTACTGTAGATCTACCATGGCGCGCGTAACATTAGGTAGTGGATTGTGTATTTTTGGAAGCAACAGCAGTCAAATAGAGCACTTTCCTTTTGTTTGTCAGTTGTGCGTGGACCTGGAGGACCTGGAGACACTGCGTTTGGTGGCTCGGAACAGGCAATCATTCAACGATATAATCGCACAGGTCACATTGTAGAGTGCAGATCACCTAGTGCTTTCAACAATAATAACGTACTTCCACATTATGGGAATTTGGTATAACCCCACACCCGTCATTGTTGAATATTCGATAATAGCGTGGATTTCCCCAACAATATATTTTCATTTTTTGTTATCCTCTCCCATGCCGTTGTACATAAGCGGCTTGCCGCGGATATGTCAATACTACTACTACTACTGTGCGTGGAAGGTTTTTATTTTATTTTCTCAGCAACGTTGAAAATATGCCTCAGCCCTTTCCTCAGCGCTTCATTCTCGATGCGGAAAAGGCACAATGGAGTGCTATCATCACATGCCTTTTTTCTGTGCGTGTGATCACGTGAGGAGTGTAAACATGCGGGTGATATCCCCGGCACTCAGCAGATACTCGTTTGCGTCACGCAGACTGTCTTGGAATCCATGTCCACTTGACCTGCTCTGGAATTAGCTTCTATCGCAAGATTTACCATGTCGACAAGGAAGTGAGCATGGGAACGCGCAGAGAAAACACACTGCTGAGCTTTTCTTCCACCAGTGCCAATGACGCAATATTTTATTTGAGCCCGGGGCACTTCTACAGATGTCTATTTGTTTATGAACCGGGTCGGTGTAAGTGGCTGGTTGTGTTTTCGTACATCCATTCCTCCCTACTCGAATGCTGATGTCCGTGCTTCACACGACCCCCAAAAATGGGTCCTGGAGGGCGGAAAGGTGTGAACGCTAGTCTGTCTGTCTGTCTGTCTGTCTGTCTGTCTGTCTGTCTGTCTGTCTGTCTGTCTGTATATCTGTCTGTCTGTCTCTCTCTCTCTCTCTCTCTCTCTCTCTCTCTCTCTCTCTCTCTCTCTCCCTCTCTCTCTCTTTCTCTCTCAGGTCACTACATCTACCTTAAGGGGGTCCATTATCCTAGAAATTATCCAAACTCTGGCAGCGTGGCACGCGTCATCACCAACTACTTCCATCCGCTGTCCACGCCGCTGACCACCACGTTCTGGTATTACCTGAATGGAGAAACCAATGGCACACTGCGTGTCGTAGTGCAAGACATCAATTCCACCATGTGGCGAACGGTACGCTTTAACCCCTATTTAGATAGGAAGTTGATGGTAGGTGTGCGGTGTGTGTGGGGGGGGGGGGGAGGATCACCACCATGTTATGGTATCAAGTGAAAGGAACCACAAAAAAGCACAACGCCTGTGGTGTTGGAAGACACAAACTCCACCATGTGGCGACTGGTACGCTTCAACCTCCTATTGGGACAGGGAGGTGATTGGTAGGTGGGTAGGTGGCCAAAGAGAGAGGGGGCAAGGGAGGGAGAGTCAAGTGCCCCCTAGCATCGTGTTGCAAGACATCAAGTGCACCACGTGAGGATCGACATGTTTCTATCCCCCATTTATACACGGAGTTGGTTGGTAGCCTGGCACGAGGGAAACATGGATGCAGTAAATGGGATTTTCCGTGTTTGGCCGCTTTGGTTGTGAGTTGATCTACTTACCTAAAACCGCTTTAGGAGCGGCAAATACGCCTTAGATCGTAGTGGCGTTCCTGCGGATTATGAAAACTCAAGCTGAGTATCAAGCGAACCGTTATTTTATTATTTATTTTTCGTTGGTAGCTGGGCAAGGGTAGGCTAGGTGCTTTCTTCATCTTGCTGCACATGCAGAGCAGAGACATCAACGTACTTGCATGTATTGTGGGGGAGGGAGGGGAGGGTAGGGGAGGGGGTGCCTGTGATACATGAAGTGATCGGTGTCCAGAACAGATGGGCTCCCATTACAGTGGCCTCCTGACACAGCCTTGAATGCGGCCCTCGAAACTATTCAGCCTTGACCAGAGGACATGCAGAGTGTTTTCATTTTTTTTTCCTGCATGTCAGGTTTGGTACACGTCAAACACCCAGGTTAATTCCTGGATCCAGGCATCCAACGTCGTAGTCGACTCAGCCAATATGTTCCGCGTTGGCTTCGAGGCGTGGGCGGCATCCGGTTGGTCTGTGGACATTGCACTGGACGATATTACATTCACGAAAGGCTGGTGCACAGAAATACCTCCACCTGCTGGTAAGGAAATCAAATTTTGTTGTTGTTGTTGTCGTCGTCGTTGCCAGAACACCGTAACTCCACGGAGACGCCCTCGATTAAGGCTAAGACCTGTGGAGAATCCATAAATACAAATACAAATCCAGATACAAAGCACAAGACCGACACAAAGAAACTTTGATATACTCGAGTTAATCTTTCTGCATTCTATTTATAGCACTTTTTGTTACTACAATATTGATTTTCAATAGTTTGCAGGCAACCTGCCTGCACTCAAGAGAGCGCTGCATTTTTTTTTACACATGTCTGGTTCAGAAGCATACACAAAGCGAAACGTCATGTACCACCTCGAGTCCAAATGTGGTGATAGGTATGTCGGGGAGACGTACCTCAGCCTCGCCACCAGGACTAAAGAGCACAAAGATGACTCGAGCATTAGAATTGGTGACATGATGATGATGTCATTAACTTGCCTGGGCTAGGCCGGATTTATGACGTCAGGGAGAATTTGGAGTAGATGGGGCAATTTCAGTATTTTGGCTCTCTATTGTCCCAAAGATGTCAGAGGGTCTCAAAACGTCGGTATGGGACATACATGTATGGCACCCTATCGGTATTACGCAAGACTGGAAAACAATTCTAGTATGAAATTCTTTTCTCAAGGTTTGGAGACTCCTATGTAGCCAATACTTGAATCCATACATCCTGTACACACACCTTGTACACACTCTCTCTAACGGTTTCTAGGCTACACTGCAATTGATATACATTAGCTCAAATTTTCGGGCAAGGCCCATCATCAGGAATACGTCTACTGTAGACAGAACTGGGGTTTATAATATATGTGACAAGTACTAGTGGCCAAAGTGTGATGGTATAGCGTAAAATGTTGCAATACCACAGGAAGCGAGATTATTATATTCTGTGTGATATGTATGAAGTGAAGTTTATAGTGCAGTGATAGTGCAGGATTACTAGCGTGAGTACAAAGCAGAAAAATACACACTTCTAACAACACTCAAACACATACATACACACACACACACACACATACACACACACAGTGCACAAATTCTTGCACAAATTATGGTAATGACAGATATATTTACGCATCAACCAACAGTCGCCAACCATTGTCACTGTTCACTGCCGGCTTCCTCTTCCTCATGAATAGTGCCCCCATGATTCTGCGGTCAACGCATGACCGTTGCCTGCTGGCGAGAACTTGTAGGTGGGCGAATGGTGAGAGCTGCGGTGACGATGGAAAGTGTGCTACTTTTGTCGATAATGGTCTCCCCATGGCTTTCCCAATGTCGCGTTTCTGGCTTGTCTGTAGTGCTCCTCAGTCCTCTAGCGTGTTGTCCTTTCTGTTTCCCCGACGGATTCTTCTTGACAGATGGTATAATATGTCATAGAGTACACCACATCTTGGGACATACAAGCATCACGCTTCAGACCACCATCGCATGCACGACATTCAGCCCGCCGACCCCGCCCCCTCTTCTCCCTCTGCTGCTGTACCGTCCTGGGGCATTGTGGCTTGCTGAATGACGACGAGACCAACATATCCTTTAGTGAGCGACCGGACCATGGAAAATACAAGGGCAATGTCCTGCTCACCATCATCTCCAAAACCTCGCAGCCGGTCCTCCGAGATTGCCAACTCTCGCAATGCATTTACAGGACGGTGATATGATGATCGGGCACGGCGGATGCACATGATCGCCGACCGCGACAATGCAAAAGCCAGTCGACACCGGACATAATGATTACGTCATTGTCTCGACATACAACTTCGTGTCCCCATTTGAAATGAGGCCACACAGGCGGTTGACAAATCTGGAGCACTCTGGCGCACAACCGGCCGTGGTGAAAACTAGTGGAGTAAGTGTGGGCAAGTTAATGACGTCATCACGATATCACCAAATTTAGTGCAAACTTCCTGCAGGTATAACTCGGAAACGGCTTCTCCAATCAACCTGGAACCTACACCATTGGAATCTGTGCATTTGTCGCTACAAGCCTTGAAGATTTCATTTTAGGGTGAACTTCCCGTTTAAAACCTCGCAGTCAGCGTCTGCACAGTGCAGAAATCAGGCTAGGTACCGCGAACACCAATATTGGCACATGACAGTCATTTACGAAAAGTCTCGTTTTCGGCGAGTATTTCGGCCGGCAGATTTGAAGAAAGCCTACGTAAGACTTAGTGCTCGCTCTAACACATCTACAGTGTGCAAAACTGCAAACCTACAGCCTTCCAACTTGGAAGGTGGGGGATGGGGGCGCCTCAATTTCAAGACCTATGTAATTGTGTATCGCTGCCTGAATGGCCTTGCTTGCTCTCTCCTACAAGACCGCTTTACTCTTCGTGCTCACGGTGCTCACACTGCTGCCATTACCCCTGGTCAGGTGTCTGCTGCGCTTTTTTTACCCCCTGCTAGCACACGCTATGGTTTCAGTGCAATTTCTTAGGTAGGCGCTGACCGGTGGAATGCACTGCCACCTGCTTACCGCCCTTCTAATTCACCTGCTGAATTCTGATCATCCATCAAGACGTTCTCACCCAACAGGCGATGACACCTGTTCGGAATTCCTAGTAAAATAAGAAAAAATAATGATAAGGTTCTAGGTCGGGTAGGACAAAAGAGGGCAAGGTGAGCGCATCGGAAATGGGCACAACTAAGTCTCACGGCAACAAAGAATGATGATTGTTGCAGGACGACGACGAGACCAGTTAATAACACGATAATGCAGTCTAACTACGATGCAAAGCAACACACCACCCAACGTGAATGGTCAGCAATGTCAGAGGTAAAGGAAGAGGGAAGCTTTGCGAAAACGAATTGCACAAAACCAGACGACAATATCTAAGGGTGCTCCTCATGCATGACACAAGTGCGGACGAGTTGACTACGATAGCGACGGCTCATCACGTGTGCAAAATTGAACTCGGATGATGAGGCAGTATGTAAAATAGAAGACGAAAACACATACACGCGAACGAGTTATGCAGTCGTGGATAGTTGCATCATAACTCGTCCCCATCTGTTTTCCTCTTCTATTTTACATTTAACACCACTGCATCTCATGTTCATTGCTAGGCATACATTTGTATTGTGATCTGCAATTGGTACTTGTCTTCTTGCAGTTTGTCCACCTGCTACTGTGTTTTGATTGCTTTATATGTTCTTCACCAACTCCAGCGAAACCCTGCACAACAAAGATGTCGTCGGGTCTCTTGGCGGGGGTTATTGTTATAACGGTACTTGTGATCCTGTGCGCCGTACTCACCGCAGCAATGTGGGCAAAATTACGTGTAGAACTGGGTAAACGTTCTAGAAAGAATGATTTCGTGTTGGAAGTACCCTGGCAACCATTGGCGGACTCTTTCATGCAAGTTAATGAAGAAAAAGAAGATGGAGCACGCACAAAAGATACGAGCAGCAGCAGCAGTAGCAGCAGCCGCAGCAGCAGCACCAGCAGTAGCCGACGCAGTAGCGCCAGTAAACAGCGAGAGAAGAGGCAGGAAGAAGACGCCGCGATGTTGATGTGAAGGTATGCGGAGGCATTCTCTCGAACGTAGATCGAAGAGCCTACAATTCACGGTTAATTGAGACGATCTCCATAGCTTACGTACAAGGGCCTATCATTCCCCTACCACGCAATACCAAAAGGAGAACCCCTGCACGATAATGCTTATGCAGCTGCCAGAGGCTTGCGATTATGCAAACTTGTTATTACTCTTAGCACTGACGCGGCGCTACATATTAGGCTAAACACTTAGCACATCCACAAACTTGGATGGCATACCAAGCCAAGCACGTTGGAATTATATTTTACACGTTCTTACGCAAGCATTAGACGTACGCATGTGATAAATCAATAATGATGAAGTCACCTGAAACTGAAGTGTGTACTTGGAAGATACGCAGGTGGTTGGTTTGCCAACCTCACTTCCTTGTGCTGGCCATGTTATGTACCACGAAGTGATGAAATATAACATGGAATAATACATGATTCTACGCGTACTCTACATGTATCTAAACGTACTTTGTTCTTTCGATCATTGATTTCCCCATTTCATTACCCATTGGGGCATACAAAATGTTCTTTTCAATTTGTTCGCAAGCTAGCATGTTAGCAGGATATGAATCACTTGCAAGTACACACATACTGCAGGAAATAATATTTTGGCATTGGGCTGTTGTTTGAAAATGCATCATGCACACATTCATTCTGTGGCGATGCTCCGCGGTGCAGGCATCTGCCTGTAGATGGCATATGACATGGATGCGGTGCGAGAATGTCATTTAATCCTCTGAACTGCCCTGTATTTCGCCATGATAATGACAATTTGGCATCAATTGGTGGCTCTCTGCGTGGTTATGTGCAGTATCCGGTCGTGGGCTTCGAAGTTTGACCGAACTTTTGAATGCTCTCGATGGAATTAGAATTGCACCATAGCTTAGTGGGATAGCATTGCGTCGCCGTTTCACTACATTTCGGACGGACAGTGATGCGTTTGTAACTGCCGTATAACACACAGAAGAGGAAGAGTCCTGTAACTTATTGCAATAACAAAATCCCTTTCCTTCCAGCTGATGTCCATCTACAGGAAAGACCTAAGCCAAAGTAAGCACGGAGAGCTGAAAGAAAATGTCACGCTGCACGTGGGTGCTACATGACATTATACATGGGACATGCAACGTTCTGTCTCCACCGAGGGCCTGTTTTTCTTTAGTTGTTGCGTCAGGTCAGTGAAATTATGTTCTGTGATTGCCTGTATAAGGCTAAAAAAAGACAAACAAACCAGGGCCTGTACATAGCCGTACAGAGCACGTGTCACCAAGGCACAAGGAGAGAGTGCCTATGACTGAGTGCATGTTTAGAAATATCCATTTAGGAATGCCACACACAAGTCTTTGCAGCAGCGATGTATGCAGGCGGCACGGGCAACTTTCACACGCACGGGCAACTCGGAGAATCATTTTTTGTGGTACCTTGTGGAGTCAGGGAAAGGTGGAGCTGGCAAGAGAGAAGGAAGCCTTTTGGGCCTGAAATTTGCACTAGCAACGAGCAGCTTGGTAGGTACTGTCGTGGGCATTGAAATCCGGTGAGAAGTCAAGCGGCCACGGGAAACTAACCTTGGAGCCGTGAGCACTGCTGGCCCATTTTTAACAGAGTACACGTGAACTACAGTGCATTTAGACGCTAAAAGCAGCATGCGCGCCGGCTCCTGTGATCCCATCGGATTTCAACGTCGACAACAGAACATCCAGTCGTTTGCATGCAACACTGGATCTCATACGAAGATGTATGTAGCGCCTTTGATTAGTGATGTTTAAATGTGAACAATGCCGTGTCAGGTCGATGGGAGAGAAATACAGGAAAGATGATCAGTGCCCGTGCACATTTAGCACACATTCATGCCACGTCTGCCCGAAACCAAAGCGTGAGCAATCTCATGGCATTTCCCACTTTCCTCGAAATTCAGGAACATGGAACAATGTACTATGGTCGATCCTGGACCATGAGAACTGACGTTGAGCACACTCGGGCATCCACAAGACTGTCACCTCAAAACTAGCTCGTCACATGCTCATTCTATAATCAACAGTAGAAAGAGTCGTAGTGACTTTCACGATACTTCAAAAGCAGTTTCATAGGAAAGATGGTTGCTCACCACACTCGAGCTGGCGCCTTTCAGCCGACTTGGCGCCACACCTAACTGAACCACGATTGTCATCCAGAGCCAACGAAAAAGTTCATCAAACCGTCCCCTTGGCAATCCTCTATTCCCTGAATTCGCCAGAACACTATCTTGGAGTGCTTCTTCATTGAAGTTGTGCCGAGTGAAAGGTTCGATGAACTTCTCCTTTGCTCTGGTTGTCAGTCGTGAGTCACTAAAGTGTCCAGTCAAGTCGGTGGAAAAGCAAGTGCTCCAGTGTGGACAGCAACAAACTTTCCTATAACCTTTTCACCCAGTCGCTAGTAGTAGACTCGCTACCACTCTGGTGAGGGGACTTGTGGATGACCGCGGGTCCTCAACGTCTGTTCTCACAGCCCATTTGGGACACTGGCGACTCACGCTGCTATCTTGTGTTCACGAGTTGTTTGCCACCCTTGAAACCGACCGTCTCTAAATTTCTATCCCTGGTGATTAGAATGCCTGGAGAGCACTGTAATAAGTACTTCAGGCTTACTCTCGATCAGCCTGCTCAAGCTCAAATGATGGGGAGGGGGGGGGGTGAATTAAAATGGACGCAGTGCACACCAGGTTGCGCATTTTATTAGGCTTGAGTGCAATTCGCTCTTACGCCCCAAGTGTAACTCATCCACTCTTCTGCGCTCCCCTCTATGTATTGCATTTCATGTATGGCTCACTCTGCGCAGAGAAGTTAAAGGATCGGATTTCACTCCGCCTGTTCATGTTCTGTCCCGCAACTTATACATTTGATACGACATACGTAGCTCATCATCCACATTTCCTTTGCGTCTCTGTTGCTTTTGTTTGATGTTCTTGTTGTTGTTCTTTTGATATTCTCTTTCCTTACGGAGTTGTTGTTGCTTTTTGCTACACTTTCTTGTTGCCTCCTAACCCTTACTTATAGTTATCGCCGTGGTTGGCTATCACCCATTCTCTTCACATTGGCCGGTGTTTCCACTGAGTCTTGAGATGGGTTAATAAAATTTAATATTATGGCAAAATGTATGCAGAAGTAGATCCCTAACCCAAATTGTTCGAGAATATAGTGGGTTTAGGTTTTTAGGACCCTCAAATCGGCCTATATCGCGCTTTTGAAAACCATTGGGTAAGAACAATAGATCGGTGATTGACGAATCATCTAAACAGTATTCACATAATGTATCCTAGACCGACGAAGAGAATTCACAGGAAACCTATCCCGTCGTAATCAGATCCAAATTAATTAAAGCATCGCATCGAAAGTCCTATCACAGGATTTACTCGACACCCAAGGAGTCTGAAAGCGAAATTGACAATAGGTTCCAAACATACAATCATGTTAAATGGGCCATAACATTACCGGTACACGCAATTTGAGCAAAGTACTGTCTTTTTGTGCAACGGTTGGCTGCCTGTCTTTTGCTCTTCTGCATTGAGATTGCTGCAGACATATCTGCTCCACTAAAGAGGCCTTAAAAAAGTTACAAGGAAGTTACATGTGTTTGCCAGGACGTTGAGCATTCAGACGTACCCATGTGCCGTTGCTACTAGGTGTTCATACATTGCACACAGCAACCTGTTTAGCATTGCAAAAAGTGATCTGTGAAGTATGTTCAACTCCGACATGTGTCTTTAGCCTAATGACGAGCACGTAACTCATTCATGATAGGAATGCTTCAGGGCCGTCAACAGAATGCAAACAGACGCGTCACACATTGCCATGACTCGTGCTATCCTATCCCCAAGACTTTTTGCATTTAATAAAAGAGCTAGGTAGCGACTTTAAATACACATGCTTGTTGATTGTACACTGATATTCGCTTGGAGGCTGGGCGTATGTTAGTCACGCGGAATAACGCTCCTTGATTAGCCTCGCGATGAATTTTGGCTGTTGTGCTAAAGCCCTGGTTGCTGTTTGATTGGTTTGCCTACGTGTCATGATCTCTGAGGATCACGTCCGACGTGTCTCCATTTAATGAAAACAGAAGAGGATGCTATGGCACGTGGAAGGCAATGAAAACTTGCACATGCTACCCAGAGACTCACGCCTAAGGCAAACTTAACTGGCAACCGCTGGTTCTTGGCCTCTAAGCGTAGTCATTCGTTACTTGTAATCCGAGGTCAAAATTAGTGTATACAAGTAGGAATACCAGGTGTAGCCAGATGATGGATTCGAAAACGTCGTAGTAGGTGTGTCACTAAGGTGCGCCGAAAATACTCAGTGCCAACGTCTCAATATGGCCCTTACCCTACAGAAATGCCTTAAAAGAGGGGAAATACGTCCTCAGGCGTCATGAGCGAAGAGAACCAGTGCATATAAAGCAGCGTTTTTGCGTGGAGTGGCAGGTCACGGCATAGCTGTAGTTCAACAGAACAGGATGGCCCAAGGCCAAGTACACGCAGCGAAGCATGCTGATTATTCTTGAAGATGTGTAAAAACAAACCCTCGAAACAGGTGCTTGACACCACCATTTGTCATGAGTGATGCCTCCGGGAGCTAGCTAGTCATGGATGAGTGCTTTGTATTCCAGTAGGAGGAAACGAGATCGTGCTATGCTGAACGCAGTTCGACTTACGCTAATTCACTTCCTTCAATTAGATTGATCACGGCTTCACCTAACGTCTGGTGCATGGCGAGTACTCTTTTCCAAAGATACACCACTTTCCCCGGGCACCTGTATCTAGTCATGCTCAACGTGCTGAGGCTTAGTTCGAGCAGCAATATACTGAGTAGTGTTGAAATCGGTTAAGTTCATATCTCCACCTCTTGGAACAATGAACCTGTAATTCATGTTCGCGCGACAGCCGTGAAAGGCTCAGTGGTAAAAGGCTCTTGTTCCTTGACCCAAGGTATTATTCACCGTGCAAGTGACATGGAGTAGTGAGGAAACACTTCGGTGAACGAGTAATCCCTGCTTTGCTCTCTGAGAAGGCCTAAGCAGCACGCCTGACATATTGTGCAAGATAATGGATAGAGGGCAGTCGGCTTGTGCACTTATTGCTCTGTTGTTGGTAGGCCGGTTTTCATCGACTTTTGGTGAGTGTGTATTTCGTTTTCCGTTTTCACTTGGTTTTGTAATCACCGTAACGAATGCTCTTAGAACAGATCCTTTCTTATCGAGTGTGGGAGAGGGGTATGCTTTCTAGGATCTTCGCAGCATGGCCTAACCGGTAATGCATCGGACTTTCAACATAGGTCCAATAGTGATGGAACAAGTGTTCTGTAGAGAGCGACACCGACAAGTGTTTCTTATTTCAAGAGAGTCATAAATGTCCTTATGTAGGTGGAAGTGGCCTCGACAAAACAATAAAGGTTTGTTTTTAGCAGTAACTGATTTTTGAGCCAAAGAACACAAATGAAATTCTATGAAACCGTGTCATAGTTAGGCAATTGCGTTACTCAAGAACATCACTTCCCAGCATGTACATAATAATGGGAAGGACGAGATCAAACTTCAAACTAAAAGACTCAGATGGTGAGCTAAGGAAAAAAATTGCAACATGAAAAATGTTGGCACAAGTTATATGATCGAGTCCACCAACCAAATCAGATTTTGAACAGTCAGACGTGCAAAATCTAGCACAAAACTGTAAACGGGGTACTGAGACTTTCCACCGCATGATTGTCAGCTTGAGCACTGCTCGATAGCGCTAACCAACGGCATTGCCAGTTTTGTGCTAGAGTGTGCACGTCTGACTGTTCAAAATCGGGGTTAGTTGGTGGGCTCGATCGCATAACTTGGGCCCACACTTTTCCATCAAACTAAAGGATCGAACTTTCACAAAATAGGAAAAGAAGAATGTTATCCAAGCTCGCAATCATTCCATTCAAGTCAAGACTTGATCTGAACATCATAAACAGGAGGTGAAATTGTCTTGTGATTTCTAGCCACTACGGATGTTCGTCTTGCTGGTGGTTTTAGTTCCCGTAGAGGTCGAGTGGAGGTTCGCTTGAGCAACGGCACATGGGGAACCGTATGCGACGATGCCTGGGACTTACTAGACGCAAACGTTGTCTGCCGCCAACTCGGGTAGGTAAATAGCGTTCCACATTCTTCCTTCCATTTGGCCTAAACGAAGACCAGCCAAACTTGCTTGTCGATGTCAACTTGGAAGGCTGATTATAATACTGATTTTCCGGTTTGCGTCTTTTGTTCAAACCAGTTAATAATACTCGTAGCCATGGCTGACAGTTTAATCCTATTTTAAGCTCGGAGTTGCACAGATGAGGCCTCATTGGCTGAAACTGTCTGGCTGTCTGCATCATTGAGTCACACATCTAGGTATAATTATGTTAACATACTTCTATACGAGAGAAATCTATAGACCCCCTAATAGAATGAAGATGGAGAGAAAACGAAGTATAAAATATGAAATTAAGTCCGGTAGGCGGGGGTCATGCATAATAATGTCTGGGCCATTCGGATACTTTTCCGAGATTTGGAATTTGCCAGTTTCTTCTTCTTTGAATCCATTTAGAAGTTCACTAGTCTTGGTGCATTGGCTGTTTGATACTGGCGATCCACCATTGCGGCACTAAAGTTGACACTGTTTTTCAAGACTGAAATGTACTCATGAGTAGATATCTTCGACAATGACATCCGCAAGATCCTTTCTACATCTGTCTTTGCACAAGGCTCAGTTAATAATTAAAAAAGCCGCTTCACTGCGCAATATTGGACGGTTTCGTCCATCGCCAATGATCTTTTTCCGTAATTCTCACTGTCAATCAGCACGGCTGTTTTGTGGCGGTCGGTCATGAGAGACCTCCAAATACGGCACTATACAGAGCAATCTCCTTTCGATGGCGCTTTATGGCCTTGCGACATTAACCTTGGTGCAGCGCCTCCAAGCATATTGCTCTTCATTTTGCCGGACGTGGCCTGTTGACGACTCCAATGGTTGGGGAAGAATACAATGTCGGAGAATCTAAACGAAAGTTGCCAAAATATGACTATTGCAGCAACTCGAAGAGGATTTTGCTTCTGGTAAAGCCTTGTAGGGTTGATAACGCGTCTCGTATTTTTCGACACCATGGTATGTGAATAGTCACTGGTCAACTTCTTGGGGGTTCTCAAATTGGGGAGACTGATGCAATTGCAAGTAATGTGCGGTTAGCAGTTGAAAAATGATTGCTGTTTATCTCCATAGGTTTTCAAAGGCAACAGCCGCTAACCTACACTACGGGACTGGTGACGGCCCTATCCTTTTGGACCAGCTGGATTGCACCGGGCAAGAAAGTGACTTGTTCCAATGCCAAGGAAACGCGGTGGGCGTGCATGACTGCTCACATGCCGAAGATGCTGGTGTTGATTGCGGTAAGCTGTAGAGAAGAATCGTTCTCGTGGATCTTAATGTATTGTGGATTGAATTTTTGTTGACAAAATTCATGGTCTGAATGGCTCACGTCCGTAGAAGTGTTCGTATAAAGTAAAGCAAAAGAACAAATCAAGTAGAATTTGCAGCTAATAGAATGTGCAGCTAATCACTCCTTTCTGTTATTTTGTCCCCCATTTCAGCCAACGGCGACGTTCGACTTGTGGGTGGGCCAAGTGAGATGAGAGGCCGCGTGGAAGTTCGCCGCTACGGGGTCTGGGGGACGGTTTGTGATGATTACTGGGACAAAAGTGACGGTAACGTGGTTTGTCGGCAACTCGGGTTAGTTATTCTGTGTCTGACGATTTTTTATAGTAAAGAAAAATGTAGGGCTGAGTCGGGTAGCATGTTCATCGGGTATCGGGTCCGGGTAGTTTTCCACGGGTAGCACGGGTACCCGATCGATTGGGTAATGTTCCCATAGCAAGACCACAATGCACACCGGACCCTTCCCTTACACACTGGGTAGACATGCGTGAATTATTTGCACACGCGCACTGTAGACCTCTCTCTCTACTCTTTCTACATCAGTACATGTCAACTGCGACTTCGGGTTTTCGGGTACGATTCGATACCCGTCTACCCGAGGTCCTCACGGGTAGCACGGGTATCCGACTACCCGTGCACACCACAAGTAAAAGGACGAAGAAACTACAAGTTACCCTATAATGTCCACTACCACGAGTTACTAAACAATCAGCTCTTGCGATAACATTGCACGACATTGACCGACGGTACTGACGTTCTACAACTAACTGGCTAACAGCTCTAGCACAACTTAGATGCGCACTCCAACAGCCTTCAAACTTGGAAGGTCCTAATTTGTAGGTTCTTGATCCTTTTTTCTTTGCTATAAACTTTTCCTTGGCTCTCCATCCGAGTCCATTTTTATGATTTTGTTCTATTTATATACTTATTGTTATACAGATCAAGCTGTATAGGTGAGTGAGTTTTCTTTTGCTCTCGTTCCGTGGGCATCGTGCAGGCGCAATGAAGGTTGCTTTTGTAGCGTTGGCACGCTGGGGACTTCAAAGCGTATAGCGTTTAGTGTATAGCATGTCCCCGTACTGTATCCCCATACGTTAGCGTATCCCCATACATTAGCGTACGGAGTCTGCCTTTGTATCAAAGCTGCTGCTCACGATTCTTTTATAGCCAGTTTATATTGTAAATTGAGAACCCCCGACACAAGCGTTTATCACAAAAGGTCATTTTTCTTTCTTACTGACCGGTTTCATCTTGTTAAAGAATCATCAGAGTGAAAGGAGAAAAGAAAAGAAAATACATGCTATTAGTAGGGCCAACTCACTTGGCCAAAACTAACTATGATACAAGTGGACCCATCAAAGCCGCTGGGAGCCCAAAGAGGCGCAGGGGTAGGGGTAATTGGATTGTGATCATGAAAGCATGCAAATGTGAAAGGTGCAGTGTCCAAATTTGGACACTGCCAAAACTTCCCGTGTACTGTATTATAACAAAATTTGTATACTATAGTCCCAACACGGCACCTTTCACATTTGCATGCTTTCATGATCACAATCCAATTACCCCTACCCCTGCGCCTCTTTGGGCTCCCAGCGGCTTTGATGGGTCCACTTGTATCATAGTTAGTTTTGGCCAAGTGAGTTGGCCCTACTGAGTACTAATAGCATGTATTGTCTTTTCTCCTTTCACTCTGATGATTCTTTAACAAGATGAAACCGGTCAGTAAGAAAGAAAAATGACCTTTTGTGATAAACGCTTGTGTCGGGGTTCTCAATTTACAATAATTAGGGCCCGCTCACACTGCGATCAAAACCAGCGTCCATGCGGCCATGCGGCCAAGTTGCATGGCAACGGCATGAACTTGACCAAAACGCCGCGGCCACGTTTCAAATCGTGACCGCGACCCCCGAAGGGGGGGGGGGGGGTGCCACGACTTGGCGGCAACATGATCGTAGACGTGAAGCGTATTTGTGTACAACCTGGCCTGAAGTATGTTCAATTTCTCAAATTCCGGTGTGTTGATTCATGAACATCGGCGGTTGTCGACATGTCGATGTCACCTCGACATTTGCACATTTTAAAAATTTTGTAGTTGTGGTCCTGCACGCACGCACCGCCATATATGCATTCTTTGCCCTTTTTGGACGATGTCGATTTTATTTTTGTAGTTGCTTCGTTGTGATCGGGTCAGTGACCAATTTCTACAGTGTACTCGTTCAATACGATGGCAGCTTGGTCTGGCTTTTCGGTTTCGGAAATTATCTTTCTCTACTTTTCTGCGATGATGGAATGCCATACCTCAAGACATTTCAGTTACATATCATCGGAAAATACAGTTCTCATCTCGGCAAACAGACGAAAGAAACCACTACCGGAATTTCCACTGCACTGGCACTTGCTCTGACCACGAGGTCAGGAAAGCGAAAGCGCTTGGATGTCAGCGGCAGTCCCTCAAGAGTCCAAACCTACCTGATTGTATGAATTATTTTCGTCGACTTCAAGAATACGAGCCACGAGGCACTTCCTTCAACATGCAACATGCGAAAAATTACATCCAAAACGGGCCACAACTTTATTAGGAAACGCATGGACTCTTTTGGATACGAACTGCAATTCGTAAAGTTTGTGTGACAATTTCACGTCTACGCGTGTACGAGGCCTAGTGTGAGCACGACTCCCACGTTTCTGCGTTTTGCTGACGCATGGACGCGTGCTCATGGTTGCAGTGTGAGCGCGCCCTAAGTTAATTTAGTTGCCAATCAGTTAATTTCGTTGCCAGTACATTTCAATTGCCAGTTACAGTGTGTTCACTGAGACCCTTGTATTTTTGCCTCCGAGAGACTGCGGCCCGCTACAAATTGGTGGCAGCGGTAAATTCATTTTGTTTCATTCTATACCCAACTGTATATATGGGACCAGGCAGGCACAGTGGGTTGGTCAAAGACCATGATTGAGATACGAGAGGTACCTGGTTCAAGTCCTGCCTGGAAGCGGTTTTTCCAGCCGTGCTGCTACCCACAGTCAACTGGGAACTTGTGGCCAGGCACAAGGGGTACATGGATGCAGCTAATGGGGTCGTTCTCGGCACTTGTGCCAGTGGTTGTGAGACTTATCCACTCACCCCCACCGTTAGGCGCTGCATCTGCCGCTAGGATTTACCGGGTGTTAGCGGCCGTCGTGAGTTCCCTTCGGGAACGGACACGATAATTTACTTTTTTTTTATTTTATTTTTTTATACCTAACTGTGTTACTTTACACGTTTCTCGGACCCCCATGGCTCAACCCGCTATAGCTCCGTGCGACGAATCAAGATGAGAATCATGTTTCTTGCCTTCCTGGGCTTGGCCCTGGTAATTAGCCTGCAGCACAGTCAGGGTGCTAGCGTGGATCACCCTTCTCTCCGCACCGCACTCACTGGAGACTCCGATGGCGATTCCAAGCGACCCGCTATCTACATGTATACTACCGGTAGTAATGGCGAAGCTGATGAGGACGACAACATGCAGGCTGCTGACCAAGACAAGGAGGGTATTGTTGTTGTGTTTATTTTAATTCGCAAACCAAACGGGCAGATCTGCCCAATGAAAAGGTGGCGAATGCAGATAGAAAGCAGTAATAAATGAAATTGGGGACTGATGTAATTAGGATAGAGGTGGAGAAAAACTAAGCCAGCTGATCATCAAACAGGACGTCTGGTACTCTAGGTACTAAGGCCAGTAAGTGTGTGCGGGATCATGCTGGCGCGGAACTGGCGGAGCGTGGAGATGGCACGTATATCGCTGGGCAATGTGTTCCACAGCTGGGCGCCCCGGAACGCGAGGCAACCCTTGCCGAACCTGGTGGAAACTGGCGGTTGGCGCAGACCCATGGTGGAGTGCAACCTAGTTGGGCCAGCTGCCGAAGGAACTAGGAGGGCTTGCAGTTCAGAACTTGCGTGCTCATTCCGAGACCTCCAGACTAGAACGGTGAACTTCTGCCTGAATATCTCGGATACTCTGTAGGTGTCCAATTGCAGCAGGAGGGTACGCGCGGAGGTGTGATGCGAGAGTCCGAAAACCGCCCTTGCCGCCCGATTCTGCATGACTTGTAGCCGATCCAATTGGCTGGCAGTAAGAAGCGGGGAAAACGCATTGGATCCGTACATCAGGTCAGACATGATGATCGCTTTAAAGTAGAGAACTCGGCTCTGATGAGTCAAGCAGCGACGCAACCTCCATAGTGCTCCGATCCTCTGGGCCAGTCGAGCGGTGCAGCGATCAACATGGGGCGTCCATGACAGATCCGAGTCGAGGAGCACTCCAAGATACCTGGCCGCAGTAACGACAGGAATCGGCGTTTCATGACAGTTTACATTGATCGTATGCTGGGGCTGCTGAGGCTGCCTGTTGGGGTATACAGGGATCACGTGGCTCTTGGCTGCATTCAAAATGAGACCACGGGTCTGCAACCAGTCAGCAAGTGCAGAAACCGAGGCCGATAGCGTAGCAGATACCGTGTCCAGGGATGTGCTGCTGCTGATCAGCGCAATGTCATCGGCAAATTGAACTGATGAAGACTGGTTAGCTATGGTTGGAACTTCGCGGGTGTAGATACTGAAAAGGATCGGTCCTAGAACAGAACCTTGTGGCACGCCACAGGATGGTGCAGAAATGGCACTCTGATCCCGTCCAATACAGATACGCTGAGTACGGCCCGACAGATAGGCGGAAAACCACTTTAGGGCTGTCCCTGTTATGCCGATATCGAATAGGTCCTGGAGTAGCCGTTCATGACGAACCTTGTCGAATGCCTTTGACATATCTAGAAGGCATATGCCAGTACACAAACGCTTGTCCCGTGCACTAAGAATACGATTTAGCATAAGTACCAGGGCATCCTCCGTTGAGTGGCCTGCGCGGAATGCAAACTGAGTCGTGGGGAGGGTACCAGATATGTCCAGAAACTGGGCTAGCTTCTTTTGTACGACTTTCTCCAAGAGTTTTGATAATATGGGAAGTAGGGACACTGGACGGAAGTTAGTGGGAATAGACGGGTCCCCGGCTTTGAACAGCGGGATAACGTGTGCGAGTTTGAAGGCTGTGGGGACAGTGCCATTGACAAGCGAGGCATTAAACAACGTGGCCACGGACGCAGCTAGGATATCGGCACAGCACTTCAGAAGGTGACCAGGTATCCCGTCGCTTCCTGTTGCTTTGGCAGGATTGATTTGTCGGAGAAGCCGTTCTACTTCGCCAAAAGACACTTGGGGCAATTCTGACATTGCAGTCTGAGGCTGTGGACCTTGCGGTAGCGGGATG